CGTTAAGGCTACCGCCTACGATCGTCACTTCGGTGGCCGTAACTTCGACAAGGCTCTGACCGAGCACCTCGCCGTCGAGTTCAAGGAGAAGTTCAAGGTCGACATCCACACTAACGGCAAGGCCTGGACCCGTACTTTGGTTGCCGCCGAGAAGCTCAAGAAGGTCCTATCCGCTAACGCCCAGGCACCTTTGAGCGTCGAGTCCCTTATGGATGATACTGACGTCCGCGCTATGCTCAAGCGTGAGGAGCTCGAGCTTATGGTCAAGCCTCTCCTTGACCGCCTGACCGCTCCTCTGGAACAGGCACTCGCTGAGGCTAAGCTTCAGGTTGAGGATATTGACCAGATCGAGATGGTTGGTGGCTGCACCCGTGTTCCCTCTATCAAGGACACCATCTCCAAGTTCTTCGGCAAGGGCCTGTCCTTCACCCTGAACCAGGATGAGGCCATTGCCCGCGGTTGTGCTTTCAGTTGTGCTACTCTCTCTCCCGTTTTCCGTGTCCGTGACTTCGCCGTTCACGACATTGTCAACTACCCCATCGATTTCACCTGGGAGCAGTCCCCCGAGATCCCCGATGAGGACACCAGCCTCACTGTCTTCAGTCGTGGCAACGTCATGCCTTCCACCAAGATTCTCACCTTCTACCGCAAGCAGCCCTTCGATCTCGAGGCCCGCTACTCCGACGTTGAGGCCATGCCTGGCAAGGTCAACCCCTGGATTGGCCGCTTCTCCGTCAAGGGCGTCCAGGCTGATGCCAACAACGACTTCATGATTTGCAAGCTCAAGGCCCGTCTCAACCTGCACGGTATTCTGAACGTCGAGTCTGGATACTACGTCGAGGATATGGAGGTCGAGGAGCCCGTCGAGGAGGAGAAGAAGGAGGGTGACATGGACACCGACTCCAAGGAGGAGCAGCCCAAGAAGACCCGCAAAGTTAAGAAGCAGGTTCGCAAGGGTGATCTCCCCATTGCCTCTGCCACTGGCGGCTTCGACCAGGCTACCAAGGAGGCCTGGACCGAGCGTGAGAACGCTATGTACATGGAGGACAAGCTCGTCGCCGAAACTGACGAGAAGAAGAACGAGCTCGAGGCCTCCATCTACGAGCTCCGTGACAAGATCGATGGCGTTTACGCCGAGTTCGCCAGCGAGGAGGAGAAGGAGAAGTTGAAGTCCAAGCTCATGGACACCGAGGTGAGTTTCGAATCAGCATTTGTCAGGATTTATCAAAATCAACGGTACTAACGCATCGTCTCAGGACTGGCTCTACGAGGATGGTGAGGACACCACCAAGTCTGTCTACGTCGCCAAGTCGGACGACATTCGCTTCATCGCCGGCCCCATTATCCAGCGCTACAAGGAGAAGGTCGAGGCCGAGCGTGACGCCGTCCGCAAGGCCGACGAGGAGGCCGCCGCTAAGCGTCGTGCCGAGATCGAGGCCAAGAAGGCCGAAGAGGACGCCAAGAAGACCACCGAGGGTGATGCCGAGATGAAGGATGCCCCTGCCGAAGGCGAGGCCCAGGCCGAGACTGAGGAGAAGCAGTAAATGCCTTCCCATTATCTTGGAAAGATTTACTGATGTGTTTTCTTATTTTTTTGAGTTGGGCATGCAAGCCCCAATTTCAAAACTGCGGTTTACTCTGATCCAACATGGATTGGGGTGAGTCGCTGCGTTATGACGAAAAGGACCTTTTTAAGTGATGTTTCATGGAGCTAGAGATTTCCATCGGCTTTAATCGTCGGCCACTTTTTTTTTTCTTGTTCTAATGGCAAACGGTTATGATGTAGATCGTTCCTGTTCCCTTGGATGTTTATGAATAGATGAAAATATACTCACTGCCTTTGTCTTCAATTCTTGAGATCTATAGAATAAGTATCGTCCTAGACCTTCCGCCCAACACACCAACCCCAGTCTAGGAGTGAAAATATTGCCGTCGCTTTTGGTGGAACTATCTAATTGTTATTAGTGGATAAGTTCAATCATATGGACGAAGTCTAGACGAATGATGTGCTAGCAGAAGAACTACGTAAAGCGACGATCTGAAAGTTAGTCCCATCCACCCATCGAAACATATGACGGTGACGATATTCCAAAAACAGCGATTCCGAGCTATGATGAAGCCGATGAAATCGCGAAGGCAGCAACCTGGCGTTAGTGACCAGCGATTTGGACAGTGGTACCAGTGGTACCAGACGAGCAACCCGTACCTATTTAAGGGCTTCGGGGGTCAAATATGCCTTTAAAACGTCTGACAGACTTCAAATACCAACCCTCCTATTCCACCTCCTAAAAAAACCTTCAAGCCGGCCCTAGTCTCCAGATATTCCGGCCACTCCTCAGCAACGAGCCACGAAGCTCCCTCGGCAGGGGATCCCGGAGTATTCTCTACGGGTTCAGGCTAGGGAAACCAATCGTAGTATTCTGAGTTCTCCGGAGGAAGTTGCTCATTTCTAGCGAAGAAGATACGGATACTTCGTCGAATTCCGATATATATCATGATTTCGAGGACAACATTACAACCCTCAGAGACTATTCATTCATTGATACCGGTGAAGACAGTACTATGTTTACAATACATCGGCTAGTATAGCTGACGGTACGCGCATGGCTGAAAACATATTTCCGGGATGAAGACTGGAAGGCAAGATTCATTGATAATCTATATGCTAGATTCCCGATAGGTGACTATGAGAACTAGGAAGAGTGTCGATCGCTCTTCCCACACGTGAAATCGGCAGCTTCACAACGACCAAAATCACAGGCCTCTCTGCGAAAATGGGCTGCTTTGCTTTATAGAGGCTCCTAGTACGCATAGGAAATTAGGGATGTCGTAGAATTTAAAGCAATGGCATCTAAATCCAGAAAGTATAGATTGAAGCTTTTTGGAGCAGAGGACGAGCGTACCCTCGATAGCACTACGATGGTAGCAACAGCGTATGGTTTAGAGGGCCGATAGAAGGAGGCAAAGGAGCTATAGGTCTAGAGTTTAGAGACTCAGAAGACTAAGCTCGGCGAGAACCATCCCGACACCCTAGAAACCATGACTAGCCAAGCGTTAACGTATAGAAATCAGGGACGATGGGAGCAGGCTGAGCAGCTTCAGGTATAGGTGATGGAGACTCGCAATTCTCAACTTGGCGAGAACCATCCTAATACCCTGACGAGCATGGCCAACCTAGAATCGACGTATAGGAACCAGGGATGGTGGGGCTGAACAGCTTGAGGCTTAGGTGATAGAGACGAGTAAGACGAAGCCCGGCGGGGACTATCCGGGTATACTATCGACTATGGCCAACCTAGCATTGACGTAGTAGAGCCAAGGTCGGTTGGATGGGGCCGAGAAGCTCCAGGTCTAGGTGATGGAAACTCGCAAGACGACGCTTAGGCAGGACCATCCTCGTACATTGACGAGCATAGCCAATATAGCATTAAAGTATCGGAGCCAAGGACAGTGGGAGGAGGCTGAGCAGCTCGAGATACAGGTGATAGAGACTCGCAAAAGAAAATTCGGCGAAAACCACCCTGACACCCTGATGAGCATGGCCAATCTAGCGATGACTTATTGGAACCAAGGCAGGTGGGAGAAGACCGAGAAGCTCCAATACAGGTGACAGAGATGAGCAAGCGAATACTCGGCGAGGTCCATCCTTCGACGTTAATAAGCATAGGCAACCTAGCATGCACGTATAGGAGCCAGGGACGGTTCAATGAGGCCGAGAAACTCGACGCATAGGTGATGAAGACTCGGAAGACGAAGCTTGGTGAGAACCATCCCGACACCCTGGAAAGCATGTCTAGCTTAGCAGCAACGTTTAGAAACCAGGGACTGTGGGGGGAGGCCGAACAGCTCCAGGCGCAGGTGATGAAGACGAGCAAGTCAAAGCTCGGCGAGAACCATCCCGACACGTTGAACAGTATGGCTAATCTCGCTTTCACCTGGAAATCTTCAGCTCACGATGCTGAAGCAAACACTCGGCCTGAACTATCCCACTACTTTATCTAATTCTGAAACATTGTTGCAATGGGAAACGGAGCGCTTAAATCTGCATACCTAGAAAAGCTAGATACTTGGAATATAACATGCTTAGCCAACCATTACTGCTTTATATGTCAACTTCCCAAAGCAATCTTTCCTATAATAGATTGGCTTAGTACTCGCTACTCAAAATGGGATTGAACTTACGACTTATAGGTGTTGAGGACTCTTACTAAAGTGACAAAAACCCGCTATTTCAACAATCAGTGCGGTAATAATGACTAAACGTGATATATGGTATGTCTGGTACTCGAAATGACATGATGCTCGTGGTATAATACCCAGTTTCTACCATGTATTAAGACTTAGTATTCGACAGTAATCTATAGAAGGCATCGCCTATATGAGAGAGTAGGTTTAGTCTGCCCCATAACCCGCAATACGGGTCAAGATCTTCAACCCGAACCCGAACCCGCAGCGGGTTCGGGTTATGATTCTCGATTTGAAAACCCCTAAATAACCCATCTCAACCCGGATTTATATAAAATTTAGGTCTTAGCATAATCAATCTTATTATTCGACAGCCATCTATACCATACATTATTCATACCCCAGGTTTCTGTCAAAAAACGTTAGAGGGATACGACGGATAGGGTCCTGTGTTGAATACTAAGTCGAGTACATGGTGGAGACAGGGTATTTTAAACCGATTTCAAAGTGGAGCAGCCAGAGGACATGGCACAGATCGCGACTCTGGCCTTTAATAGACCCTGGGAATTTGCTACAGATCGAATTTAAAAAAAAGGCAATTTGATTTCTCTATTCGTGTACTGTAATTGGCTGTACGTTCGCACTGCACTTTGACAATTTTAGTGGGATGGGGTGGAAAAGATCGTAGTATCAACTCATATAGAGCCTAGCTAATGGAACGTGGATCGTTAGGTTCGAATATCACCTAGGTGTACGAGTGGTTATACTTGTCCCTAGTGAATCTGTAACTAGAAGTCGAGATACCGAAGCCCCAATTACTTCGTGAGTTCAGAAGGACCATGACCCTTCGGAGTTAAAGCCGCTCCCTTAACCTGCTCCACATCAATTGCACCCGGAAGCCATCCCACGCGGTTGCTGGTATATACCTCACACCTGGGCTTCAATTTCGTTTCATGTAGGGTAAAATCGTCCACTGTTCCGGTACGCAGGATACTATATCCCGGGAACACTTCACTGATGCGGTACATGAGCGAGCCGCATGTAGAACAGAAAAAATTTGTCATTGCCTTGCCGGAGGCTATAGTTTTCGACTGGCTAAATGACTTGAGGGTTTGTTGGCCACGTATGTGTTTCAGATGTGTGTCTGCCACAATGAAAGCGGTGGTGAACATGGATGCGGTGATTTTTCGGCAGTCCACGCAATGGCACACGAATGTGTCGATTAGGCCTGGACCTTGTGTTGGCTGAAGTTTTTTGTGGTATTAGCGGAATACATCGAACAAAGTTATATGCTTGGGAGCACTTACAAAGGCCAACTGTACTGCGCCACAGTAGCATGTAGCTGTCGCCTGGCCTTCTTTTGACCAGCCATCATCCGCACCACCAGCAACAGGTATGTAGGGCTTAGAATTATCTCTTGCAGCGGCCATGATTGAGCTTCTTTTCCGAGTTTGAAAGGGTGCTTTACGTATATTTATATGACTTGTGCTTTGCCGGTAATTTATTCCGATGGGAGATTACGAACCAGCGTCCTGTCCCCCACAGGTCTCCCACAGGTCTCCCACCGGCCACCCACCGGCCTCCCACCACTGGCACTTCGCTGAGCAGTGAATAAATTGTTGATGACGCAACTGAATGTGCGATGATGAGGTAAAAGCCTCATTAAACCTGTTAAATGAAAGATGGCTTTAAGAGCCAATTTATAATCAAACTTTTTTTTAAGGCAAATGTGCGAGTTGGTTGAGTTGGTTATAGAACATCTTGCCTTCGACTCTACCCGAATAGTTCAACTTACTCAAATTCGAACATTCACTGAAAATCATGAAGGAGGTTCTCAATTTGGCAGGGCCAACTGTGAAGATTGTCGAGAGCCCAATTCCTGAGCCAAACGATGACCAAGTTCTTATCAAAGTGATCGTGTCTGGGTCGAATCCCAAGGACTGGAAGGTCCCAGACCTTGCAGCTTCTGGAGACAGCAGTCTCGACATGATGATTGAGGCCAAGAAGGGACTGAACCAGGGGGACGATATTGCCGGTGTGGTTGAAAAGGTCGGATCTAACGTGGTTGAATTTAAAGTGAGTCGTTTAAACTAGTCATAATGGTCGGTGTTAACTTCTCATCAAGCCAGGCGATCGCGTTGCAGCGTTCCACGAAATGTGTACGCCCGGCGGCTCGTACGCTGAGTTTGCACTTGCCTGGAGTCATACAACTTTCCATCTGCCCAAGCACACCTCATTTGAAGGTACGCCAAGACAATAAAATTCATACAGACCATAGCTAAACAAGATTCACAGAAGCTGCAACAATTCCTCTCGCTGCCCTGACTGCTGCTTTGTCCTTGTACGCGCACTTTCAATTCCCACCACCGTGGAGACCTGCAGTAAAACCGATCCCATTCATCGTTTACGGCGCAAGCACGGCTGTTGGCTCATACGCGATCAAATTGGCGTGCAACAGCAACATCCACCCCATCATTGCTATCGCAGGGAAGGGATCCGAATATGTACGGAGCCTCCTAGATCAAAGCAAAGGAGATACAGTGATCGACTACCGTGAAGGAATAGAGGCAACGACAAAAGCAATAAAAGACAGCCTTGTACTGGCTGGACATTCTACTGTGCAGCACGCACTTGACACCATCATCATTACGCAGAGCGCAGAGGTCTTAAGGCAGTCGATTATTCCGGGCGGACAAATTGATTTTGTATTGCCCAATGACCTGGACGTGTCCCCTGCGGTCAAATCGATTACTTCCGTGGGATCCGTGCACAACCAACCTGAGTTTGGTAACTACGAGGAACTAGGATTCGTTTTCTCTCGGTATTTTACGAGAGCATTACAAAATGGCAGTTTTTCCGGTCATCCTTTCGAGGTTAGGCCTCGAGGCTTGGAAGGTGTTGAGGAGGCCTTGAAAGACTTGAAGGCCGGAAAAGCAAGCGCTACCAAGTACATTTTCCGCATTGCAGATACCCCGGGAGTTATTTAGGGTTTATTTAGAGTCGGTTATTCTCAGGTCCTGGTAAGTATTCAATCACCACAAGGCTCTTTAATGGGCGACAGATTTCAGGTCATTTTCATTTAGCAAACCGAGCCTTTAACGTATTTCACAAGCGAGTGGCCACCACAAGCGAGCGGCCACCTCGAAAACACATAGTAGATGCGATAGATTACAACTTGATATCCTAACAACGGTGATCTATATAGGTATTTCCTTATATACTTATGCTTTTTAGGCGATATTTAGTATCTCTACGGAATTTTAGAAATATATATGACTTAGTGATTAAGACCTATATATTTCTAACTTTTTATAACGTAATTTTCGGTATTTTTTTGAAATAGCGATAATATAGCCTTCTACTTTCTTTAAAATTGATATAAAGTGTTAATAAGTCTTATCAATGACTGTCGACAAAGGAGGAGATAAAACAATAACATGGTTGTTAAAATATAAATGTAGAATAAATCAGATCTACTATGTGTTTTCGAGGTGGCCGCTCGCTTGTGGTGGTCACTCGCTTGTGAAATACGTTATTGCTTTTTGGCCTAAATCGCTTTGCCTTATAATAATATTATTCTTCTTGCACCGTGGGGAAATACAGCCGACCGAGTACACGCGAATCGTCGTATCCCGGAAGGTGCGAGTAGTAGTCGCTTGGCTAGACCTCAAGAAAGCCCATAGGTTTAATAGGCCCCCATTATGAACCAAACAACATAAACATGCCAATCTATCGTGGCTATATAATTAATGTATTTTTTTTCCTGGTTTTTTTAGGTATTTAAATTACCGTTACTATAGAGAAGGTAGTGATTCTAAAATAACTCAGTCACCTAGGCCGATCAATCAAAATATATATCTCTTTGTACTAATACTCAGTAATCCCCCTGGGTACGAATTCGTGGACCACTGGTCAAATGAAATCTATTTAGGGTGATTTTGTATAAGATCTAGCATCATAATACTAAAATGAGTATAATATGACGGAAAGCTGGTGTACGAACAATGTATGGTATAAATGACCAATGTTGATAACTCTAACTAACTAAAATGACAAAACCCGCTATTTCAACAATCTGTGCGGACCATGATGACTAACTGTAATATGCACTTTTGTATGGTATGCCTGGTACCCAATGTCACATGATGTTTCCGGTATATTACCTGGTTTCTACCATGTATTCGGACTTAGTATTCGACATAATATCTACTTAATTTTTACTTCTTACTATGATAATATAATAATACTAAATATATAGGTTGGTATATACGTAAAATACATCCATTAATCAGCTACTTTATACGTGCTAAGACTATATTTATATATAGAAATAGGCTTTGATAAGGGCCTCAAGGGCCCCCATAAATGGGCTGTGGGCTAGGGGCTTGGGCCTATTTGTGGGCTATCTTGAGGTGTTGTTCTACGTCGCCATTGCCCGAAAAGAAAAGAAAAGCCATGTATATGTTCCAAATAAATTCACTTCAACATTCCTAGATACCGAAGAACACGAAGGCAGGTAACCCTCGCTATATGTGCCGGAAGCCACGTCAAATCATTTGGAAGTAGAGCCGAGAGGCATTTCAGTAGCAAAATTGCTCTCCGACAATTTTCTCACTCAGAGTCCACAGCTTGTCTGCATTGGAGGCGTCAGAGGCGTAATCCAAAACCTTTTCTGGATTGCAGTCATTTAGGAATGAACCTGATTGATCTGCGTGAAATTGTCAGCCCGTTTTCTACTCGTTCAGCCACCAATATTAATATACTTACCGTCAAGCGCGGGGTCCAGAATCGCAGCAAGAGTAGTTGCGCAGCCCTGCTCGATGTTCTTTTCCTTCGGCATCTCCAGCTTCTTGCTTTCAAACATAGGTCCCACAACTGGCCACGCTGCAGGGTCTACTCCGGACGATAGACCCGTTGCCTGTATGACTCCAGGGTGTAACGAATAGGACTTTATCCCCTTGTTCTCCAATTTCTTAGCCAATGCAACGGCAAACAAAATATTTGCTGTCTTGGACTGTCCGTAAGCCGTCCAAGCGTTGTAGGTCTTGCCATCGGAGAAGTTGTAGTTGTCGAACATAACCGGGCTGAACTGGTACATGGCACTGGATACATTTACGATCCGAGCGCCACCGCCAGATGCTTCAAGTTTCGGAACAAGGAGGTTGGTGAGCAGGAAATGACCAATGTGATTGGCGCCCAGGTGGCTTTCCACGTTTTCAGCAGTCAGAGAAAACTTGACACCCATAATCCCTGCGTTATTAATGAGGACGTCGATCTTGGATACAGATGCACTAATCTCCGCTGCCGCAGCGCGCACTGATGCGCAGGACGTGAGGTCGATTTTGATAAATCGAACAATGGTAGAGGGGCTGGTTTTGCTGATCTCCTTCATGACTGGAGAGACTTTCTCTTCGGAACGCCCGAGAAGGATGATCTCAGCAGGATTGGCGGCTGCTAGGAAAAGGGCCGTGTGGGCTCCAAGCCCTCCATGACTGGCTCCAGTGATCACAACTAATAACTTCTCAGCAACATAGAATCGAGCAAAACCTCGTTCCAATTATATAGGAAACCCGGTTGTTCGCAGGAAGATATACTTACATGTCTTTCCAGTGACTCGATCTGGCAACGCAGCAACTACTTCGGACCCAGTGGTCGAGAAATTGAAAGCAGGCATTTTCAAGAGCGTAGTAGTACAACACAACTAAGGTAAAAAGAAAAGCTATCAGCTATCCATATAATGACAGTGTTAACAGGTCAGCCATGACCTCCCCTCGAGTTATATATAACTAAATATTCTGCTCCTTCGATGCGGCTTGATAACAATTACGAAGCAATCCAGTGCCAACTACATTTTCAAACACTATTGTCTTCGGATCACTAATCTATCCGGCTCCAATCTTGCTAGTTACAGTTCTTGATACAATTACATTTCCAAGCACTCCAGTGCTACTGTCGTCGGATCGCTAATCCATCCGGCTCCAACCTTGTTCGTTAGGATTCTCGATTGTTCATCGACGCCCCACATAAAAGCTAAAGCAAGTATTATCCCAACACGTTAACCTTGAAGATACTCGAGATTACGAAGTACCAGCCGATGCCCACTTCCCAGAACAAGGCCGGAATACAATATTTTACGACAGACAATGCTATAAACACCCTATGGATCATTTGGGTTGCATATGATTAAGGGCATTGCAAAATACGAACAATCATTCGCGACATCACTAGTAACTTCACGGCTGAGTGGAGTGCCAATGGTGGGAACCAGCCGCTGAGAGACAGATGGGAGGCCGGTGGGAGGCCGGGTTATAGGTGGGAGGCCGGATGGCAGGTTTCTAATCACCCTTCAGAGTAAAGAGTAACTTACTAAGGTAAAGCAGAAGCAATCTCAGAAAGTAGACTCTAAGTGAAAGGGACTGGTTAGAAAAAAATAAAACAAAAACAATACCTAGGCTTCCTGAGATTCTATAAGGATCGCATGGTTTCGATTAGGTAGTACTGATTACTAACGAAGAGGTTCTAAGTGCCCAGTTGAATTCCACTGAACTCGCAGTCTTATACTAAACGGTTATTATTTGGCTGGAACCGGTGTCTTCAATTATCGATTTCTTTGCTCATGAGTCATTTTCCCAATACAAGCAAGTTGTTTCACTCTCTAGATCATTACTTTTCAACATATGGTTTCCGTGAAGGACTGAAGCTAAATTGATTCAATACCGACTAGGCCAACATGCCGTTTACAAAAAGCTTGAAGAAGGGAAGGTGTGGAAAAAGGCTATGCGGCAAGACCATATAGTGAGAAGTGGGTCCGTCCCGTTACATCCTTAGCCTTCAAGTAAAGCCTTCAAGGTATCAGCAGGTGTACGCTTTGGAGCAGCTAGCTTCAGGATCTCCTTGCTGGTCGTAGAAGTCGAGCATTTCCCTTCCCACGACGTTTCGGCTGCCCGCTTGATTGAGTAGATGACGTTCTTCGATTGCTTGGTTGCCGCATACTGGTACTCATACAGCATATCGATGAACGAGACGTCCTTGTAGCTAACATTTTTGATAGGCGTACCAATGTGCTGCTCAACCATTGCGACAATCTGCATTCCAGTGATGTCCTCGGGTCCATTCAGAACGTATTTAGACTTATTATGGGCGGAAGTGTCGTCTTGAGACAAGAGATGGGCTGCAATAACACCAACTTCGTCAGGGTCGATAATGCCGACGGGTGCATCCTCTGACAGGATTAACCGAAGTATATCCTGCTCTCCAGTCTCGCGATATTTCTTGATGAATTCCGCAGCGGGGGATATGACCAATGGCGAGAAGACGTTCGGTTGAAGAGAGGTCCACTGCAAGGTGTCGAACTCGGGTGAGCCGAGGAGAGCCTCGATGGCCCAGTGCTGGCGTGCATAGTAGGCAGGGCAGTCCGGACGGACATTTTCAGCCGTGGTTGAGATCCGCACGACATACTTGACGCCGGCGTTGAGGGCGTTGAGGTGGAAGGTCGACTCTTCGGCAAATTGGTTGGGCTCATTGTGGGATGCAATGAATGCTCTAGCAACTTGGTGTTCGCGGAGCCAGTCGGCGGTGATCTCAACCCAGTTCTGTTCGATCACTTCAACTCCGGCTATTTTGGCAAGCTCTTGTGCCACTGGATTGTCTGAGGAGCGAGTAAGAGCAATAATGCGGTGCTCGGACAAAGTGCTGCCGGATTGAAGCAACTTTGGCAATGTCTTGGCGACAGCTCGGCCGGTATTGCCGGTGGCGCCGATGATGAGTATAGAAGGAGTCATGGGTCCGAGGTATGACATACTTCACTGAGCTATAACGTTGGGCCAAATATCGGGGGTTTGAGAGATACTTATACCCGGCTTTTGCTTTGTAATTTATTTCAGATTCTCAATTAGGTTTTCTAATAAGTAAGAGCTTAAAAATTTTGCTCACTGTATCCCAGATTTCTCTCCAAGCCTAGAAGCGGTGGGGAGCCGGTGGGAGGCCGACGGGAGGATCTTTGCAACCCGGACACCCACGCGAAGCTCAGCAAGGCCCACAGTTCCTTCAATTTCAGGCCATTTCTGAGAGGACACTGGTTGCTAGAGCCAATTTTACTGATGGAAGGGTTCGGCAGCGAAATCGAGTTCATTCAGAGCCCTTCGGACCCTTTCGCATACGACGCGTTCCGGTGTCAATTTCCTGGCTGCAATGCTGGGTACCGGCGTAAGGAGCATCTAAAGCGCCATGAAGAATCAAAACACGCCCAGCAGCTGGTCTTTGTCTGTTCCACCTGTAGTCGCCAATTTAGCCGAAGGTATCCGCGTGCTTACACTTATCCTTATTCAACACCAACTCTAACTATAGAACGTTGCAATTTAGTGATACACTTCGACGCCATGTTCAAAAACAGCACAAAATAACAGAGCCCCTAAATCGCGCGCGCCGAGCTTGTGCGAGTTGCCACGCATGCAAGAGTCGGTGTGAAGGGGGCGTGCCATGTGAGGAGTGTGTTCGTCGCAACATTCAATGTTCTTTTCAAGAGCACGATGGTGTTGCAGAAGAGCAATATCCTAGTTCCTTGGCGCCACTTTCATCATTTCGGAATGATGAACAGTCGCAAATATATTATTGGGAGAAGAGAAAGCAGTGCGTCGATCGTTACTTTGAGACATTTCATCCCCGTTGGCCTTTCATCCATAAAGGAACGTTCGATATACACCAGGAAACCCCACTACTTCTACACTCAATGGTGGCTATGGGTATGTGGGCCTCGGGAGAGCGGTCTGCGCAGGCTGCGGCAGTGGAGCTTCATGATAAACTTGATTTTGCTATACGAGATCAAAGGGTCCGTCTGATAAGTAATTTATGACATACACAATTTGCTAACGTGCAAGCCATAGGAGAAATGGGATGCCTCAGAAGTAGAGGGGGCCTGCAGCACCTGCTTCTGGCCAATGGCGACATACCAGGCTATCCTACTTCACGTTATTTTGTCTATTCTCATGAAAAGCGAAGGTGTCGTCAACTTCGACCTGAAAGCGTCTATTTCCGCTACGGATTTAACATTACTCAAATCACTTGTTGGAAGTTGTCGACGACTGGGTATGTTCTTTTATCCGAACATGCTCGCCAAATATAAGCAAGCCGACCTGCCCTCATTTGTCTGGGTGGGCGTCGAAGAGATCAAGCGATTCAATATAGCATTGTATAAGCTATGTGTGAAATTGAGCAACGTAAGTCAGGAAGACAGGCCATTATTAACTGCCGGTGAACTCCAGTTCCCCCTTCCAAGCAATGACCCCTTGTGGAATTCCGTTGAAAGAGATGAATGGGAAGCTAATGCGAAGGAGGAGAATACGGTTTCGTTGGGCGACAACTTTCAGGCGAAGTGGATTTCTAAGTTTGCAGATATATTAGGGTTCCTTGGTCCATAACTAAGTCATCAATATTAGTTGATTACCAATGAACCGATGGCTTCCCGAATACCTGGAACTGCAGGAGGAACCAGGTCTGCTAAATGAGACGGACTTATTGGCGCGAGGCTGACAAGACCAGGCCCTAGCAACCAGCAATATATCGCACAGCGGCAGATCCCTTCCGCCTGCCCTCGCATGTAAATGAGCAATGCTGGCTTTAAAACCACTGTCTGTGTGGGTCAAATTCCAGATTACAATATACCCTTAGAACTGATATGTGCCCCCTCTGACAACACTAACTTCATTCTAGATCCACCATAGCCAGTTTAGCAATTGCGGACCATGGTTTGCAATAGTCTCAAGGTTAAAGCCAATGTTGAAACGGAAAGTCCTTTCAAGCCAAGTTGATTATATAACTATACTTCCAATATAAGTTTAGTGATACTCTTGATACTGCTAAGAGTTCAGTAACATCGTGCAGGTCCGACCAGCAGTAGCCCTTTCATGATGAAACCAAAAATGGATACCGTGGGTTTTCAACCAGTGGAGTCTTATGAATGGTTTGTATATGGGATGACGGAGAATTCCTACGGAGTCGTTGGAATGATTAGACAATGGAAAAGAGGGGAATAGAAAAGCAGATTGTACAAATTGGATTAGTTGCGTTATCAAGGTGTTTACAGTAAAAGTAATCAGATTCCCTAGAACTTCACACTGTTTCTCGGCTCGTACCCGAAACCACGCCAATCCATTATGAGTTACTCGGTAAACAATCCCTATTTAGCGGTATTTCTTCGCATGTATTTGATTTCAGTGTCAGATGCGGAATTGTATATTACCATAAATTTTTACACAGCATCCCCGACAAGAGTCGGGGTTGGGTGCTTGAAGAGAGATCTACTTCTAGCGTTTCTTCCTTGTATATCTATCTGCTCCCATGAGAAAGACCGTGCTATTGCCGTAGGGAACTAATCTCTGGTAGGCTGACTATATGCAGTTCTTTTTCGTATTTTGTCAAAGATTTTGGGAAATAGACAAGCGAACTATTTGTACTGCACTCCGGGGTTTTGAGAATAAACCTCCTCAATAAACTGATGTCTTTTCACAGCACCCTCAAAATCACAAAGTATAGTTTTGTCACCAGCAGCAATCGCCTCATAAACACGGGCCAAGTTTCTATTTATCGGACCCATCTCGGCAAAAGCACCATTCTGAAGCGCAACTTCCTTTATCTCGTCGGTGGCAAAGTCGTGAAGCTGAATGTTGTCTGTGCCGACAATTTCGATGAACGCACTAGGGCCTGTGATTCTGATCTCTCCTTTCTCGCCATAGATGCTCCACTCAAGTCCAGGGGATCCCTTAAACGGTGCTCCGCCTCTAATTATCGCCGAAAGTACGGCACCTGATTTGAGCGAACCCTGAATCATAAAGTGATCTGGATTTGTCTTCTCGGCATTTTCTTTGACCACAGAACCATCGGCATTAACAATTTTAACCACTGGTCGTTGATTTGAAAGGAGAGACTGGAAGCTTGAGAATTCGCCAAGGACTATGATCAATTAGTGACGGATGACAAGTTTCCTAGTATCGGGTCCTAAAACAAACCTTCCTGAACCGTATCGAGTAAATGTAAAGCCGGAATTGAGAGTAAAGAGCCACCACTTTCATAGTCAACCAAGTAACTCTGACTTTCAAGCTCCGTCTGTCCTGCAATAAATCCTTGACTAGTGATTGTAGTGCTTAGGACTTTGCCAATTCTTCCTTCTGCCAAGATGCCTTTCAAAGTTTCGACAATAGCGTCGAACCGCCCTTGAAGGCCAACTGCAGCGAGCTTAACATTTTTTTCTTTTGCCACATCGAGCAGCTCCTCTGCTTCAATAAGGCTCCTCCCGAGGGGCCACTCGACAAATACATTTTTGCCGGCCTTTAGGGAAGGAAGAATAGACATGTAATGGCGATCTACTCGCGTAGCGCAAACAACAAGCTCAATGTCTTTGTCATCGGCGATATCTGGTCATAGGAGTCAGGTATGTTACTATATTTTGAAGAAAGGCACAGAGGAAGAAAACTTTTGTCACTTACCTTGCACATTTCCATATGTCCTTACTTCGCCTGGAAGCTTAAGTTCTTCGACGCTCTTCGCAGCACTCTCCGCAGATGAATTACAAACAGCCACAATTTTGTACTTTGAATCAGAGCTCAGCAGATAGGGTAGGTGAGCATTAGCTGCCCATGCACCAGGTGAAAGACCAATTATGCCAATGCGAATTGGGCCCATGGTGATTGTTCGATAATATAAAGAAAAATCAATCGAACAAATATAGTCAAGGCATTAAATGACCTATTGTTCCCTCTCTTTAAATATATGGAAAAATTTTGTTGATAACTAGATTAATAAGTTCATTACATCATGACACATCGCCCATAGAATGCCAAATAATAATACCCTCCGTGCAAGACTGATGATGGTTTGTCGTCGGCATCCCACCGGTATCCCACGTATCCCACCACAGGCACTCTGACACTAGTGAATTTGCCGGTAATGACGTCGTACCTTCATGATGATTGGGACTCGTAGCTCAGTTAAAAGGGGTATATCAGGTTCCAGCTCGGGGAGACTCGTAAAAAGTTCCTGGAGACTCGAGAATAATCAATTCTATAAGCCCATTTGACGAGTCTCCCCGAACTGACACCCTAGGGTATATGATCGTCGCCGATACGATAACAGGTCATTGGCATTGTATCAGAGATTCGGTAACTGACAATACTAAATGTAATTGGGTCGTTCTAGTATTCAAAGAATCTGTTCTTAGAAAATTATTATTACCAGATTGCCTACATCCAGAATGGTGGTCTGTCAGTATCCTCCACTTATCTCCGTGCTGACAAAACCTATCCCCGTGGAACCGGGTCGAATTCGCGCCTATCTATTCATGTCATTTTAAGTGCTTTTTTCTTGTCGCGAGTTCTTTCCTCTCTCTCTCTCTCTACAATCGCCTATCTCAAGACGCTATAATGGACTCCCGCAATGAGCTAACCGTCCACCACCACGGGACCGCGCATATCATTCAAGTCTCCGCCTCAGCAACACTCCAAGACCTCACCTCCGAGATAGAGCGCGTCCTCAACATCCCCATCGACAACCAAAAGCTCCTCATAGCCCCAAAGCCAGGAATGCAGAAAGCACCTTTCCCACCAACTCTCCTCTCCGCAATTCTCCAAACCTCCTCCCCGAAGTTCAAGATCACCCTCCTCGGCACCCCCGCCAAAGCAATCGCCGATCTGCACGAACAATCCGCCAGCGAACAGCGACGACAAGAATCACGAGCTGCCGCCCTAAGCGCCGCAAGACGCAACAAACAAACACCTTCCAGCCGTAGCGGCGGCATCCACACCATCTCATCCTCAGCCAACAACTACACCTTCCACCGTCTCCTCCCACTATCCTACCTCCCCAACCCGGACCGCTCTCTCGACTTCCTGAAACGTCTCAGAGATGACCCAGGGATCCGCGCTGCCATGGCAAAACACAAGTTCTCCGTACCGCTCTTGACGGAAATGAACCCTGCAGAACACACGACGAGCGAGTCGCGGACGCTAGGTCTGAACCGGAATAAAGGCGAGGTGATTGAGTTGCGTTTGCGAACGGATGCCTACGACGGATACCGTGATTATCGTACTATTCGGAAGACGCTGTGTCATGAGCTTGCGCATTGCGTGTTCGGGCCTCATGACCGTGACTTTTGGGATTTGACGTCGCAGATCGAGAAGGAAGTTGAGCGTGCTGATTGGAAGTCTGGTGGGAACCAGTTGTCTAGTCAGGAGTTTTACAATCCTGGTGATTGGGATAATGTTCAGGGTGGGGAGGAGTTTGATGAGTGTGGGTGGACTGGTGGGGAGTTTGTCCTCGGTGGATTGCAGGGCGACTCGACTGGAGGTAGGAGTGGAGATGGTGCTTCTGGCGGGACGCTTTCTCGTAGGGAAATTATGGCGCGGGCTGCGGAGGAGAGGATGAAGAGGGAGAGTCAGGCCGGGAAACAAGATGATGCTAAGTGATATCATGGCCGCTCATTTGGTACATTATCTTTTTCATGATTTATGAGTTCTTGCTTTTGGCCTACATAGCCTTTGATACCATACTATTCGGTTGTAATTAACTCATTTCTGTACATTACAGATGATATATTTTGTTATCTGATTAGACTATCTCAGGATATTTACAACTGCTCGTTGACAAAGAGACCAGCCATACCCTGTCCAGTTCCAATACACATGGAAGTGACCAAAACCTTACTCTTTGTCCGGCGAGCCTCGCTCAGAATGGTCGCGACTTGTCGCGCACCTGTTGCGCCGAGCGGGTGACCAATGGCAATAGCACCGCCACGAGGGTTGACCTTAGCGTGGTCAAGACCAAGGTTCTTAACACAGTAAACCGCCATGGAGGCGAAAGCCTCGTTGATCTCGTAGATATCAATATCATTCTTATCAAGCTGGAACTTGCTCAGCAGCTTGGGAATAGCGGCAGTTGGGCCGATACCCATAACGCGAGGGGGAACACCGGCAACGGTAGCGCCGCAGAACTTAGCAAGGATAGGCTGATTCAGCTCAATAGCCTTGGAGCGGCGCATGAGCAGGACAGAAGCGGCACCATCGGTAACTTGGCTGGAGTTTCCACCGGTGGACTTATCACCGAACTGGGGGAACGCAGGGCGAATCTTGGAAAGCGACTCGAAAGTCGTACCGGGACGAATACCATCATCACGGGACAGAGTCACCTGCTTAACCTCGCCAGTCTTGGGGTCCTTAACCTTGACGGTGATGGGAGCAATTTCGTCATCGAGCCAGCCATTCTTCTGGGCAGCTTCAGCACGGCGGAACGACTCAGCAGCATATCGGTCCTGCTGCTCGCGGGGGATATCGAAGTCCTTGCCGATGTTCTCGGAAGTCTGACCCATGGGCTGCATGCAGTCAGCGGCTTCCTGGTTGCGCAGGACCTCCTCGTTGAATGGCTGCTCCAGTCGGTCGCCAGCGGCGGACATCAGCTCGGCACCCATGGCGACACCGATGTCGATGGCACCCAGCTGGATCTGGTTCGCGATATCCTGTACAGCCTTCAGTCCAGATGAGCAGAAGCGGTTCACTGTTGAGGCGCCGGCGGTGTGCGGGATGCCGGCGGCAAGGGCTGCGGCGCGGACCATGTAGGCGGCTTTGACTTCGTTGACCTGTTTTGGGGTTTAGAATATGCCATATTTAGAATTGTGGAGTAGAGAGAAGAGATTAAACATACGTTTCCGAGGCAGACATCCTCGATCAGAGCAGGGTCAATCTGTGACTTAGCCAGGGTCTCCTTCAACAGGGCGTAGAGCATGTAGTCCAATTCTGTGTCCTTGAACCCGCCCTTACGCGCCTTTGTTAGCGGTGTGCGGATTGCTAGAGTGATGACCACATCGTCGGGGTTCTTTTGTGTACTATATTTGCTTGTTAACCCCATCAAGCACAACTGGGCTCCTTTGAGGATGAGGACTTACATAGCAGCGAGGCCGTTAGTGGCGCCGGGCTTGAGGTGGCTCAGAAGCGAGCTTAGACGATCCGCGGCCATGATGTATGAAGGTAGAGAGACTGCACAGATTATAAGTCAGTTTTCTGCTCTTCTTCGCTTCTGCAGCTTGTCTTTGTTCAAGATGCCGACTATTGGCATGGAAGTTTTCGGTGTCAATGCGGGGAAGCTCCCATGTGCGGAGATTGGGGCGAGGAAAGTGAAAACAAATAGATCACCCGCTAGGGGCAGAAGAACTTACAAATTGTACAGAAGTAGGAGAGAGATAAGGGACAAAATAAGCAAAAAAGAAGGATGAGGAGTTGAGGAGTTAATAAAAGAAGTAGAGAAGATCTCCGCTTCGACCGAAACTGCCGAGGTTCATTTCGCCTATCAGGCTATCCGGTACTAAGTAGTGGGTACTTCTGATTTAGCTTAACATCCCTCATTGTAGGAAGTATCTAGTACCTCAACCTGGCTATTTCTAGTTCTATGGACTTGGCCGTTCGAGATGCCTAGGTAACTGTCGGGTTGTCAAGTGTCAATCGCGTTGACCCTTAGAATAAATCATTCATTTCTTATTGTATAGGTAGGACTGTCTTATTCTTATTCTTATGAGAAATGAACGATTTCGCACTCCTCATCGAAGTATCCAAATGCACGATGTTCGTGGCAAACTCACATGCAGGCCTTTCAATACCGTGCGAACATCCGATAGCCATCAGGTTCGGGGCTAAAACACTTACCTTCTAACTCCTCTCCTTGGCCATCGCTGCATAATAACAGGTTGTTCGCGAGTACGTCGAGTTGTCCGTGTTTGGATGTGATACAGTCTGCTGCTTGATCAGTCGAGGTATCGCCGCTCAAGTCAATTATAATCGGTTCTACCAATGTGCCCATGGTATCTGTATATACACTGGAGCGATAGCTCAACGATTATGCTCAAATGATAAATTAATGCGTTTTTATATAGAAGAATAAGAACTAGCTTCGTAAGTATCACTAATATGTACCCACCGTTATCTCCGTACGCATCCAATCCTCAAATCTTCCCTCGTGGGCTTTGGGGTCAGTGTCTTCCCAGTTGTAAGAACCGGTATGATAATTCAAAATCTCGAAATACCTTCAACCGATAAGTTCGAATCACTGTGCTGCAGATTGGGAAATACATACATTTTGGTCTTCCATTGATCCGTTGTCATTTCTGAATCTAACAAAGACCAGTCAATTTGTTTCTCGCACTCGGGTTCGTCGTTTGAGTCCGAATAGGTCGAAACGTATAGATGGGCTAGGGCATCCGCCGCTGTGATTCTCTTCTGTGGGTCTATATCAAGCATTTTCTCTACGAGACAAATGGCTAGCAAAGTCAGTATCATTGGAGGTAGATATATCAGGAGGAACTTGATATCAATGAAGATATTGACGGGCATACCTTCAGAGTCAACATCTCCCAGGGTAGCTCTAAGTGATCGGGGCTCTGCTTCAGGTAGCGAGTTCACAAACTTCATCGTCTATAGCTTGTAATCAGCATCTTCTCTTCCGTATCCAACCTAGCCGTTCAGAATTCGGTCATACAATGTCGCTGTACACTGTCTTCATAATCTCTTTGGGTGGTTTCCCAAAGATCTCAGTGATCAGTTTGAAATGATGCACATTGTCTGTACCCGGGAAGAGGACTTTCCCTAGGAGCATCTCTGCTAGAATGCAGCCAGTGCTCCAGATATCCACTGCGTAGTTGTATCTCTGCCAATTCAACATGATTTCTGGAGCTCGGTAATATCGTGTGGAGACATAGCCAGTCATCTGATGATCTTGTTCTCGAGCTAGACCAAAGTCACAAATCTTCAAGTCGCAGTTTTCTTTGATCAGAATGTTGCTGGGTTTGAGATCACGATGAATCACACCAGCGGAGTGGATAAATTTTAACCCTCGCTGATATAGTAAGCTACACTGGTATTTTCCAGGTCACTCGGGCAGACATACCAGCACTTGGTAGGTGAAGAACTGGATGAACTTGTTATCCAATGGGTCCGATCTTGATTGAATCAATTCATGAAGGTCTGTCATGCAACAGTCCATCACAAGATAACTGTATTCCCAAACGTTTAGTATAATTGAATCCGAAAATAAAGAAGCGATTCACGTACAGATCTTCCGCTGGTGAGATGAAGATATCTGTGAGGTTGATTAACTGTAGGCGGTTAGTGTCCACGATCATACTACGTCTCTTTTTCCGCACATGCATTATCATGTTTTAAATGATTCATCAAATGAACCTCGCGATACGTGCGCTTGACCCGGGCAGAACCATCAAATGGATTCCCTATCTTCTTTATGGCAACCGTTCGGTTGGCCTTTGAATCATGCGCCGAGCTGATACTGGCTGTTAGTGGTTTTATAGTACGAAGAGAATATATATATATTAGGGGATATACCAGATCACTCCAAAGGCACCCACCCCATGTGCTTGCAAGTCTGTATACCTCTCAGTAGTTTGAAGGGCGGTGCCCATGATCTTATGCGTGACGAATGTAGCCATGATTCCAACGGTGCAGATGTTGAAGAAGGGATGAATTGCCAGAATAGTAGAAGAATAGAGGACAATATAGGTGCCTTCCAAGGTTCCACGGTTGTTCTACCCAGGCCTAGGCCATATTGTGGTTACGTCATACACGTGGATATGCTCATGTGGTTGGCCATTTGATTCGTTTGTGTATCTTGATTTCTGTATATTGCCAGTTGCATTCTCCACGTATCCATTGATGTTCACGGATTGAGCCAGTTATTATAGCTGATCCCAATAAGGCCGTATCGGCCGATCCCTCTCCACAGTAGGTTGAGCCAGTTAAGGTATATATATACAAGTAGTGGACGTCATTCAGCTTGATTCCTACCAATGCAGGCTCTCTTTCGCGATTGCGTCAATCACGTTCCAGGTGATTGAATGTGAGAGATAAAGTCCCATCTTTGCCTTTGAACTTCCTTTAACATGGTTGGTGCAAATTGACAAGGCCATTCGTACAGTATAAAGCACTGTCGGAGAGTTACACTGCAGCGATCTTTCTAGAAGTATTGCAAGTAATGAAACCCTTCTAATTTCAATTAGATCATATCATAATACCATTGTACGTTGTATCGCATCAACACAAATGGCAGCCAAGCTCAAATCTAAAACCAAACACTAAACACCACAACAGAAAGTTTCCCGAGCCAGTAAATTCCAACCATTCCTCCATATCCGTTATCTATGATGTTCCGAGTGGATCAGAGTAACTGATGATGTCCAGCATCCTCATTGCTAATTACACTACCCACATCAGACCATGCCGGAGTAGCCAGACCACCAAAAGATCGCCCATCAAAGTCACTAAGAGTGCCATCTGATGTTCCGTCCTCGAATCCTCCGACATGGCTGAAGCTTCCAGTGGTAGAAGGGGCGGCTGAAATATTATTGAGAGACTGGTCACTCTCATGTCCGAAACCATCTAACCCAGCAAGGTGATCCCGTTCATAGGTTTCGTTGCTTAGCACATCAGGGTGCGCATAATATACCTGCTGGTGGTCTTCTGTGTGGCTGGACCCAGATACAGACAAAGGAGAGTTGGGAGAAAATGGATCAAATAGGGTATTCCCCTCAGGTACTTCAGACCGAGGCGTGAACTGAACAATCGATTCCGAAGGATGGTTGGAGGAAGCGGACGAGGGGATGTCGACATGCAGCTGATTCCGATCCAGCGTAGTCGAAGACTCGGTCTCGATTTGCTTGGCACCTCGTCGGAGAGGTTCCAAAGTGTCCAAGTCAATTCCCGTTGAGTTAGCAGTAAATTCTTCGTTGTTTTGAACATCGTATTCGTCGTCTTTTTGTTTACGCAGGTTGCCCTCCTCGTCGACAAGAGTATCAAAGCTATTATGAGGCTGGCTGGGCTGGCTGGTCTTTCGTCGTGATTCAAGGAGCGTTCCTCGTCGCATAATTTCCGCACGAGCAATCCGTCTGCGTTCTTCGGCAATTTCGCCAGTCTCCTCGGTCATAGAAATGTCTTGCCTCGCCGCTATGTCTTCAGGTTGAATCTCATCGCCGAGGTTGTGCAGAGCTACGGCGATCTTGCGCCGCGAGTTGGTCATCCATTCTTTAAACTGCGGCGACTCATACACGGCGATGCCTGCTGCTACAAGCACAGAAACAGTAATGATGATTCCTGCATGAGATGTCAGCCTCATCCTCAACATAGTGGGGAACTGATAAGACCGAGTACACCGCCCGGATGATCCGGGAAGAATGTAGAGGTTCAAGGGAAGTAGTAGACCATACCTTTTGCAAGTGGTGCTGGCATGGTGAACCTGAATGTTGTACTTGTGTCTTTCCTTTCAAATGGGTTCAATACTCACCTCGTCATCCATGCAGCGGGACAAGATGATTCGGTGATGCCTGCACCCACCTTATCCTTACATCAGTGCATGTGATCCGCAAAGCCCTTATCACAGGCCCTAAATACACACCGCTTTGGGCAAAGTCCCCCGCGCGTCAAAGTGATGGACGTGATTGCAAGCTCTCATCTTTTAACTTGATTGTACAATTGAACTTGAGAGATACCATCATGTCTCGCCAACCGTCGCAGGCCCAACGGCCATTGTCCCTCACCGAGGAGCTTGAGAAATTGGAGCAGTCCATCACCCTTACAATGCAAGGTAAGGTAAAAAGTAAACAAAACAGTCCAGCAGACCGCTCATCGTCATATGTCCATACAGAGATCGACCACAATTTTAGCCAGGCTCATCGGATAGTAACTACGAGTATATTGCCTCTGGTAGAGCAATATACCGAGCATTCCCGAGATGTCTGGGAAGGTTCCAAGGTCAGCACCGCCAGCATATACAACCACAGGCTATGTTAACTCCCTATAGTTCTGGAAGCAATTCTTTGAAGCGAGTGCCAATGTATCTCTATCCGGCTATGAAGAAAGAACCACCGATGAAGAAACGATGCAAGACCCAACAGCCACGGAGGAAGAGTTGTCCACCGACATAACCCAAAGCACCAGTCTCGACGATACCATGTCCCACGAGACGCCCTCTTCCCAGCGTCATGAAACGCCCCGACGCGACCAGGCAGACGACCTTGATCTAACAGATCTCGCAATCTCTTCTCACAGCACTCCGCGTGCTCCGGGCCACCATTACCAGCAGGTCGACGAAGACATGACAACCTCTTCAATGGAGTACTCGTCCTCGTACGAGAACCTAAGAAGACAAGTCAACGAATCCGAACCCCCATTCGACCTCCCAGACTCCTCAACCCTCCCATCCACACCAGGCCGCCAGCTCTTCTTCCCCCGTGGCGTCTCTGCCACAACCCCGATGTCCTCACCATTCCTCCCGCCCGCGTCGCAGCAGCCATCCACCGAAGACCGTCGATACCAGAAGACTTCAGACCCGGTGTTACACCAAATGCTCGACAAGACATACCGTGTGCAAGCCACGCCGCTCGGGAAGGGATTCCGCAATGTGGGCGGCGGCACGAACACTCGACCAAAGTTCAACATCACCCCAAAGCCGGCCGAGTCTACCTCCAAGTATGGATATGACGACTCGCCGATTTCCAGTCCAGAGCCGGAGGCACCACAGCTCCACTCGGAGATTTTCTCGTCGCCCATCAAAGGCGTCAACGATACCCCAGGCACGAACCGCAAGCGACGGACTAGCAGCAATCGCATGCGTGGTATGCCCAGACCTGGCATGAGTGTTTTGACACCTGCTAAGAAGTCTGCGGGTAAATCGGCTATGTGGGATAGCGACGATGATCTGGATTACGATGACGATGAGGATCTTGGGCCGAGTCCCCCTAAGACAATGCAGTTTCACATTCCGCAGAGCCGGCTGATGAGGACGCCTGGTAAGACTTGTTCCCTTGGTTTTCTTTTAGTACTACATTCATGCTAACTTGCTTCGCCTTGGTAGCAAGAGAGGCTTCTAAGCGCATTGTGACCGATTTACTGGCTACGGCTGGAGCTGGGGACATCACAGATGACTTTGGTGACGACCAAAGTCCAAGTGTAATCCGTCGCATGGAGCGCTTGGAAGATGAAACTTTCTAAGTCGGCAGTCTACCAAAAAAAAAAAAAAAAAAAAAAAAAAAAAAAGAACCAGGACTGACGACATGTTCTTATCGTTGATCTGGCTGGCATTTCATTTTCATGTGCATTAAATAACGTGCTGAATTGCCCATAGACCTCAAAATACCCACGAATACTACTATGACGTCATGATCAAATGCCAATATTTTGATAGATACATTTCCATTGAGAGAAGGAGAGATAGAGAGGGCACAGCCTATAGTATTATCATACACGTAGACACAGTAAACAAGTGTCACTTTTGGGGACAGAGAGAACCCTTGAGACATGAACAAGAAGAAAAACGCTTAAGGAATCGTAGGATATGTACGGGCAAGGAAGGTCAAGCAAGCAATGTCACCGCTATGTCCCGTCTATCATTGTTAACCAACAGAGAATTCGGGCTCTTGAGAGAAAATAGAAGAAAAGTGGGCAGCGATGTATCTGCAATGGACCTCGATCAATGGCGGTTGCGGGGTGGACAAGAACGAAGAGAGCTATATCTAGTTCTTCTTATTCTTGGACTCGGTGTCCTTCTTCTCTGTCTTGGAGTCATCACCACTCTCCTGAGACTTCTCCTCCTTCCCATCGGCATCAGCAGCCTGCTGCTTCTCGTGAGAATCATAGAGAGACTGGTGCTTAGAGCTCAAGCGCTCCTCCTCGGCAGCAACCATATCCTTCCAGAGATCGCCCTCATTGCCATTACCACTCTGATGAACAGGCTGCTCCTCCTCAACAGCCTCAACCTTATTCTTAGCCGCATCGGCCTTCTTCTTAGAGTCGAGCAAGCCGCGACCACGACGCTGATCCGAGATCTCAAAAGCGGCCGAAGCACAAAGCACACCCAGCGTCAGACCCTGTGCATACACACGAGCCTGGACAAGCTTCTGTTGTCCACTGAGACCAGGGATGCGACTGACAAGCGCAAAGGAGCCAACCATCGAGGCAACCCAGGTGGCGGTGATGATCTTGTATTTCTCGCGGCGGGCGAAGGCAGCGGCGCGGTCGGTGAAGCTCAGACCGCGCATCTCCTCGGCGCGAAGACGCTCTTCGCGATTCTCGTACCATTGGTATGCGGCATTTTGCTCATTCTCGTATTCGCGCGAGGCGTGGTCGGCCGCGATGATACCGGTGAAGGTACCAGAGGAGGTCACTAGGAAGGCTTTCATTGGCACGGTTAGGTTGCGGATTGTGTGGTAGCGACGTGCGGCAAGTAGAACTCCTGCTACGCCGCCGGCGAGACCTAGGAGGCCGCCGACTGTGCCGCCTTTGAGGACGGATCTTTGGGATTGCGTCAGTATGGGGTGATTATGGGAATTGGAGAGTGTAGTATGTAATTGCGTACCGGTAGTGAGCTTCTTCTTGTTCTTTAGTAAGAATCTTCATTGTGTGTAGTGTATTTGTTTAAATTGAAATAAAAGAAGCTCGGAGGAGGGTGAAATGTCCGATATAAAACCAAGAAAGCAAAGGCCGGATCGCATGACGTGGGATCGCGGGATCTGCTCTTTTTCCGGCGTTGGCCCCCGGCCATCTCTCGGTCTTGCACGGAACTAACTTGCCGACTTATGGTGTTTGGGGCTTTTTGTCTATAGATTGCTGACATATTTGGAGTTGAATTGCATTTACTGTTTGTTTCCATATGAATTTGCAATTGATAAAGTTTTTGCTCTTATTCCACTCGGAATGTGAAGGTGACACACTCCCAAATCCTTATTCAATCCCCGGTTGATCCCGAAACGCCCAAACACCGCAAAAAAATATTTCACATAACGGAACTGCCCGATGTCATGTTGGGGAAAAAAATCTACAGGTGCCGAATCTACCGACGAGAAGCCTTGCGTGCCGCAGCCTGGCGGGCTTGCATCTTGCGGAAACGGTCCTCGCCACTAGAACCCAAGGGACGCGCAAACTGAGCCTCGCGCACAGCTGTCTGGCGCGGAACCACAGTATAACTGACGTTGGTACGGTCGACACGAGCACGGTTGAGAAGGCGGGGAGGGAGCATCTCGCGAGCGCGGGCTTCGGCTTGAATCTCCTCGGCGGTGGGAGGAGCGCGCCTGACAACCTTTCTATATGGGTGTTAGTGGGTGATAGGGAGTTTGGGCAGCAATGAACATACGTAGGGTCATAATCGGCTTCCTGGTAGACCCGCTTCGAATAATCGTCACTGCGCTGGAGAATTGGTCGTGTCCATTCCGCCAACAGCTTCTCCGCCATTTCCTTGATGCGACGCTCGGTGCGTTTGCTCTTAGTGTAGAAGACAACCACTTTTCCAATGCCACTGGCAATCAAAGCATCCTTGTTGATAGGAAGCTTGGTAATGGCGGTCAATAGGTCACGCTGGATGTTGTACGCGGGCATCGCGCCATCGTCGAGAGGCTCGAGGAAGAATCGAACAGCTTCCAATAAGTTGATTTCTGGGTCGACCAAGGCGCTGGTGTATTGGTTGCGATTGAGGAGCATGATGACTTCGGGGAGGAGCTTGAGCTTGTGCATAGCTGGTTTTCCTTCTTGGCGGTTGATCGCATCCATTTGTGCTGCGTGGGTCATGCGCTTGCGCATATCCTCGATTTCAGCATCTGCCATAGATTCCAAATCCTAATAGTACAGTCAGTAAACGTAGGTGAGTACGTATCACCAAGCACAGCACATACAATGCCATCCTGCTTGCGGAAACGTCTCTTCGCTGGCTTCTTCATCGCCTCGTCCATAGCACGGTCGAGGGCTCGGCGACGTCCTGATGATTGAAAACCCGTTAGTACAAACTGTGTGGGGTGAAAAACCACTTGATAGTGAAGAGGAGAACATACGGGTCTCCGGGTCAAGAGTCTCCTCATCTACCTCAGGCTTATCCTCGCGCTGCTTGCGCTCACGTCGGTGAGATGAGCCTCCTTCGTCGCCTCCCTCGTCAGCTCGACGGCTCTTCTTTTCGCGACGACCTTCCTTCCGGCGCGGACGGCTCTCGCCATCCTCGGTGCGCTTGCGCTTGTGGCGACCAATGAGTTTCAAGTTATCTTCATCAATGGCAAGTTGTGGGCGGTCCTCGACGTTGACATTTTCTGGGTCAAAGTTGTCGAATTGTGCCTCGTCAACCTCGGACAAAATAGACTCGTCGTCTGAAAGCTTATCATCGTCATCTTCGTCGTCCTCTGCGGCATGTAGCTCGTCATCCACGTCCTCTGTGAGTTCTTTGGCTTTAGCAGTAGAGTCAGTGAAGTTCTCGCCGTCGTTGTCGTCACCAGCAACCGGGGTTGCGACTTGCTCGGGGACTTCGGGTTCGGGAGAGGCGGCGGGCGAGACAGCCTTGCGGTCCGGTGAAGCAGACATGGCGGTTCAGATGGTAGCAAATGTAATAGTATAGATAAAGAACCAAATTTCAAAGGTGCAGAGATCGGCTAAGGGGGTATCGCAAACAGGTCACGGTACGTTCTGCCTGGGTGATGCCGACGCCGCTCCGCAAAATCAATCGGTGCACTGCAGATTCGAGCAATGCAGGTGGGATGTAGAGGTAGGAGTTAGAAATAGAAGCACAGCACAAGCTTCTCTCAAAATTAAATCAGTAGAATGCAAGTGGACAGTGAGAGGGAGGTAGTGAAGGCAAAACCTCAGAAGTGAAGGAGAGCGGTGGTCTGTGCTCCCGTGATTTATTTCTCCAGTCCGACTTGGTGACCTCGCAACACTCAACTCTCACAACATCTATTATCTGAACTCTTTTCCATTCTTTAATCCTTCATCACACTCAAAATGTTTGCCCCAGGTATGCTCACAGTCCCATGCCTCTTTGCTCCACCAAACTCGAGCTGACGATATACTTCTGTTAAGGCCAAGAACAGATCTCCAAGGAAGAGATCAAGGTCAGCATCACACCATGACCTCTGCCTCAAGTGGCATCTAATACTAATATATTTTACAGGCTGGTGAGATCGAGGCCAGCCAGACCGTCCAACTGGCTATTGCCGGTGGTTTCCTCCTCTACCTGTGTAAGTCAAGTATCTAGTCCACAAGGCCTTGAAAGAGCAGACAACCCGAGACGAGTCAGAGAAGAATTCAGTGGATCGAAAACTAACATGTTCACCTAATACAGCCCCCTTCGCCGTCGACTTCGTCCGCAAGTTCCTTTAAGCCGGTTGACCCGCCTTCCGCTCCTCTTTCTTGCCCTTCCCGGACTGTAATCGACGAATCGCTGGTTATGATTTCGTGATCACATGCAGGAGAACTGGATAATCGATTTTCCCCCCTGGCATAAATTTTTTTCCCGGCCGCAATTGGCCAAGATCGAGCATGGACATCTAATCTATGGAAAGCTCTTGAAGCTCATCTACTATACCTTTTGGGTCTGCTGGGTAGTGTCGGTTGGGTGGTGTATTACTATTGTGCATATGTTTGTTGTCAATTGTGTTTTATGGGATATACAGCAAATCAACATAGGAAATTGCAATATATCGGTTCCACAGAAACAGGAATTTGGGTCTTGCTAGCTTGTGGTAACAGTAATGAGTCAACATGACAGAGCGGAGGAGTAGTTGGTGTCATATTTGGCATGAACTTATTTCACGTACTCAGTCTGCCACAGTATCATTGTCAATGTATTGAGATTGTCTCTTTGGATGACAACCCGTACTTGAATCTTCCACTCTGAAACGGTTTTAGTTAGCTCGGTGGGACTAGCTATATACGATACCATGACTCTCAAAGAAGATGGTGTAAGTTTGTGTCTCGTGTCAACGCAATGCATACTTATCTTCGTATTTCTGCATAATATCCTATGTATAATTGAATATACAATCACGGAACACTTACTGGTTTTATAGTAGTAGACTCGGTGGTACTAGATATATAAGAAGTTGTGTAACCCACAGAAGATGTGATAAATCTATGTAGCACGGAGCATCCCTGGGTTGACAGAGTATATTGGTCTCCTTATTCGGCCTGTAGTTGAATAGCTTGTCTAGAACTTGGGTTTGAAAGGTGCGATACCTATATGCATGGATCCAGCATCCTCCGTACTCAGGTGGGACTTTACTATATTACGCAACGGTTTCACGAGATTTTACTCTACTAAACTATTAGAAATGGGGATGGAGATTGAGGCAAAAAAGCAAGTAAAAGAAGTCATGATCGAAACCGAGAACGATCGACAGGTCAAGCCTAGGTGGAGAGAGCAAAAATGAGAGAATGCCCGTGGACGTTAGCTAATTCTAGGTAGCCAACGCCAAAGGGCATGGAATATAGGGAGTTGAAATTAACTTTGAGGGAACAAGACATCCAGAAAACAGTAGTAGACACATTACTGAGAAAGCAGGCCCCATAAATTTGAGGCAGCATCAACAGACACGCTCCAGAAAGCAGGATGAGAGAGGCAAAAAAGACACCCAGAGTGGAATGTAGAGTGTTCAGCAAAGAAGTTTGTATTCAGTTATGTATTACAATGGCCTTATCCCCAAGAACGCCGGTACCCCGATGGCCGTAGACATTAAGTCCAAACATGTGAAGAAATTGAGATTCGAAATAGCAGATAGAAAGTTATAGAGCAATGTACTCAATTCCCAATCGCTTTCTCCACCTCGTTGAAGTCTTTCTTGATTGACTCCATCTCCTTCTGAAGATGCTGAATCTGAGAGTGGTAATCATCCAGAATCTGGGAGATATGGTTAGCAAGCTCTTCCGGCACTGAGGGTTTCCCAGTTTGGGAGCGACGAACCTTCTTTGCTGTCTTCAACGTCTGCTCATCAATGTCATCCTCCGCTTGTGCCACGTTTACCCCGGCGCGATCCATCTCCACCTGCAGTCGCTTGGAGTGTTCGTGGATGGCCAACATACGTGCCCAGATTTCTTCAGCGCGGCCATTAAGAGACGGGTCGAAAACGGCACGTTCCAACTCGACAAGCTTTTTCTTCAACTGCTCCTCCGCTTCATCCATGGCGTATCCTCTGTTGCGAAGGATCTGTGTCTTGGCAGCGAGAGAGAGGCATCGTTTGCTCAGAATAATGTGTTTCCGCCGGCAGTCAGCGATCTTGACGGAAAGGTTGAGGTCATGCTTTGAGAGAAGCCCGGTCAAGCAGTTGTTGATCTCGTGCAGGCGCGACTGCATCATAGTGAGGAAGTCCCTTTGTCGCTGCGCACGCTTACCGAGGTCCCAGAAGCCCTTTACAAGCACAGGGACATATCCTGGACCCGGTCGCTTGCGCAAAGCCTCCTCCCATTTTGACTCGTCATCTTCAGGACCAGGTTGGTAGAAAGGAGCGGCCTCCTCGCCGACATTGTTGTACAGATAGGCTCGGAATGGCGAGCTTTGGCTGGGCGGATCCCACTTATCCTTGATGATGGCTACTTGCATAGGAACAGTTCGGTGCACTATAAAGAGTCTTGTCAGTAATGCGTAGTAAAAGTTTCCACAATCGGCTCACCCCCAGTAATAGCACGGCCAGGGGACCAAAGGCTTGACGACAGAGAAGGTTGTTGCTGTTGGGGCTGTGGCGTGGTCATCGTGTTCTGGCCGAATGCATTTGTTGGTTGCTGAGTGTTGGAGCCCAGACCTCCTCCTAATCCCCCTCCTGGCTGTTGTGTTTGCTGCTGGCCTCCAGAGAAGAGGCTAGCTTGCGGCTTCTGTAGCGAGGAGCCGAATGCGCTTCCTTGCTGTTGCTGCTGCGGCTGCCCCAAAGCACCTGAACCGAAGGTATTCTGGGGCTTCTGTGGATTTCCGAACAAAGATCCTGATGGCTGCTGGGGTGTGGCACTTGCGCCGAACGCACTTCCGCCAAATGCACCGGTTGCTCCCGTTGATGTCGTTGCTGGCTGTTGAGTCTGCCCGCCGAACAGTGTGCTGGTGTTGGTACTAGGCTGAGCTGCGGTTGCCGGGGCGCCAAAGAGAGACGGCTTCGGTGCAGTGTTGCCGAACATGGACGGATTGGCCTGAGGTTGGGTTCCACCGAAGAGAGACATGATGGGCAATCAAAAAGGCACAAAAAAAAAACCCCACGATAAAGATGGAGCGCGTCAATGGATCAATAAAGCACTGGCGCAGCCAGATTAAAAGCGCCGATGGGAAATAGAAACAAGTCCAAGGCGCATAGTCCAGGGTCTGTAGGTTGACAGTCGAAGGAAAGAAAGCTGAGGGGTTCCTCGATGGAGCTCGAAGGCCGAGAAAGATGAGAGCCGGAGCTCGATTTGTTTGTGTCACGTGACGGTCTATTGTTCGAAAACAGCTTCAATTCATATTGAATGGAAGATGTGAATAATTAATGAGTTGACATTGTTCTATTGCTCTGTGTTATTGTCATAATTATTTCTGTTTTTCTCATTAATCTATATAATCAACAAAAGCAACACTCATTCATGCTGTATCCCAGCACCACACCTAGGCAACATGTTACGCTGACCTAAGCACCACCACACCAGCCAATCACCAACGAGCCAAATTTCATTCCACCGCAACCCGCAGCTCTCGACTATCGATCTCCGAGTCTCGTCTCAATTGCACCTCTTTCCCCTCACAGTCATTCTGACAAGCCACCGTCGCCATGGCCCAAAGAGATGCTCGGTATGTATCTTAATTACAATTGCTTCCTCTCTGTCAAGCTCTATGTGAAACGCTAACCTCCCTCCCTCCGCGCACAGCTTCAACCAGACTGTCCTGGTGGACACCACGCCTATGCCCGATCACATTCCCAAGGTGGAGGAGATCGGTGCCACATCTGCACCCCTGATGAGTGCAGCTTACTTCATTGGAGACCGCTGCAAGGTCTTCAATGACGACTTCATGAAGTGCAAGGCCGAGGCCAATGGCCGCGGGGAGATCGACTGCTTGAAGGAGGGCCGGAAGGTCACGCGCTGTGCCGCTAGCGTGTATGTTCCCTTTGCAGTTCACCTTTGAGTTGATAAGAAGATATTGACCCGTCACAGCATCAAGGACATCAACACCCACTGCTTTGACCAGTTCAAGGCCCACTGGGAGTGTCTCGAGAACAACAACCACCAGCTCTGGGAATGCCGCAGGCCCGAGGTGCAGCTTAACAACTGTGTCTTCGACAAATTGGTATGACACATGTCCTCCTACCTCAAATCATCTCAATCACCTCACATCCATCGCATCCGCTATCACCCTTGGACTAGAGCTAACATACAATTTTCTTATTCTTTTTAGGGCTTGAAGAAGACCCTCCCTGGTGCCCCCGAGAACCAGGTTCCTGTCCACTTGCGCCCCAAGCAAAAATACGCACAGTACCCCGGCCCCCAGTGGTAAACACTCTCCCGGTTTACTTTGTCCTCTCTAGACCCGCCCTGATTGCACCCTCATCCTTCGCTCTCATAATCTGGGCACTGTCTTTTTTCTATATCACTGTTTTATTTGGATGCTCGACCGTAAACCCGGTCTATGTTTGTGTAAATATCTCTTGGCATCATGAATGGTTACATGATTTTCTGTTCAATCTTTCCAAATCCCCTTGTCTTGCTCACATAGCATGCATGGGACGACATGTTTCCCAACTCATTGCGGCTTGCAATGGCATGTTTTCGAGTTAGTAGTAGTACGGACTCAAATGCTGCCCGCTAGCTCGAAGACCTCGGCTTGATGCATACGTAGGTAACCATTGCAGTGAAGAAGCTAGGCACATTACACATTGACATTCCTCGGTGGAGAAGTGTGTACACATGGGCTATCGCTCAGGTTTACCCATGCACCGCAGGGTCTCACTGTGTATAGAACATGTCCCAGCTATGTTTTGCTTCCTATATTTGACTCTGTCCAACTCGTAAGCACCGGGTATGATGGGTTCTTGTTCTGGGGGCCTGTGTGAACCCAGCCAGGCCCCACAGCCAGCTTTCAATATTAACTTCCACTTTAGGTGGTTGGTGATAGTATGCATGTAGCTAGCGGTGTGTGGAACACCAAGTTTAGGTGGGATACACATACCGGCTTTTCTACCAGCTCCCAGTGCTTTAGTCTTCCTGAACATATTCATGGATAATATTGCTGGACATATCAAGTTCTATGATCTTAATAGTATAGCTTTGAGGAGATCTGGTCTAATGATATTTTTTTCCATCGCGATCTGGACCGAACAGTTTTTCGGGCTGATACAAAGACTTAACATCAACCGTTCTGCAGAGTCTGAACTAAAATGACATATTGTTACATTCTATAATCCGAAGAAATCCATAACTATCATCATCCTTCACCTGACTGGATTGCAGGGGTTTAGCCTGCTGGTCCATGTGTGTAATTGAGCCCTAATTCCGGCCTTCCGATATACTGCCTCGTGTAACTAGGCCTCTGAGATAATCCGAAACATATCTAAGTAAACTTTTTTATTGAGGTTCAATAGTTTCCTTGTCACAGCATTGATTAACAGAATTTGCTATTGAAGCGTATCTGAGGTGTTTCAGAATATACATATGAAAGCAGGTATAAACCCCGAGTATTAAGACCAAAGACATGGGGAAAGTACAACAAGAAAAATGTCAAGAGTACGCTTAGATCCCGATGTACAAATAGCGGACCTCCGGCATCTATCTATAGACATCTAGAGAGGCATAGATGCAGGTATCAAATTCTCCACCAGAATCCGTGCATGTGCAACAGCAAAACAAGGACATAGATAATGTATACAAAAGCAGCTCTTATTTCTCTAGAGATTCTCCATATTTATGTGCTACTTACCTCTATAGTCAGAGCCACACACGCAGGTTGACATGAAGTCGACAGTATTCTTGATTCTATCATTATGGGGAGGCGTCCAACACGCCCAAGCAGCGGCCGTGTTCGCCCACTTCATGGTAAAAGCCCTTCAACCACGATCTATATCTCTGCTAACATCTTCCAACTCCAGGTATATAACTCGGAGAACTTCACAGTCTATGACTGGGAAACCAACATAGCAGAAGCGCAAAGGGCGCACATCGACGCCTTTGCCCTGAACATCGCATACAACTTCCCGACAAACAACCGCTCCTTAGCGAACGCATTCACCGCTGCAAACGCCCTGAACTTCCAACTCCTCTTCTCATTTGACTATGTAGGCAACGGCGCCTGGCCAGAAGGTGAGGTGATCGGTCTACTCCGAAAATACGGAAACAACACAGCCTACTACCAACACAACGGCAAACCCTTCGTCTCAACCTTCGAAGGCTCCTCCAACGCCACAGACTGGGCCACAATCAAAAAGTACACAGACTGCTTCTTCGTACCCGGATGGTCAGCCCTAGGCGCAAAGGAAGCCCTCGCCGTCGCCCCAGGCATCCCAGACGGACTATTTTCCTGGGCCGCATGGCCCGAAGGCCCAGACCCGATAAACACCTACATAGACTCGACCTACATGCAATGGCTCAAAGACACAGGCAAACTGCCGTACATGATGCCGGTCTCACCATGGTTCTACACGAACCTCCCCGGCTACGGCAAGAACTGGATCTGGAACGGCGATAACCTGTGGTACGACCGGTGGCAGCAAGTGATATCACTAAAGCCGGAGTTTGTGGAGATCATCTCGTGGAACGATTACGGCGAATCGCACTACATCGGCCCGCTGCATGAAGGTGCATACGCGACCTTCGAGATCGGTAATGCGAGCTACAACTACGCCGTCGGACACCCTCATGACGGCTGGCGCGATTTTCTGCCTTTTATTATCGATGTCTATAAGGGCTCCAGGGCGACTGTTACTACCGAGGGTGTCACTGCTTGGTTCCGTCAGGCTCCTGGGAAGGCTTGTACCAATGGTGGCACTATGGGTAACACAAAGACACACGGACAGAAAGAGTTCCCGCCTACGGACGTCTTGCAGGATGAGGTGTTTTTCTCTGCGCTTCTGAGGTCTGCTGCTGATGTGGACGTGTCGGTTGATATTGGTGGTGTCGTGCAGGATGGGAAGTGGAAGAATAAACCACACGGTCCAGTTGGTCTTTATCATGGCAGCGTGCCATTTGATGGCAATACTGGAGAAGTGGTCGTGACGGTGTCGCGTCGGGGAGAGACCGTTGCTGAGATGCGCGGTGCATCGATCTCGGAATCGTGTCTGGATGATATCCAGAACTGGAATGCCTGGGTTGGCACCAACTTTGCTAATAATACGATTTCACGACATCCGCCGCCTTCGCCAGCCCCGACTGTAGTTTCTGCGGCGTCGACTCTTTTGGCGCTTGGGAGGATTCCGTTGACGATTGTCTTTGTGGCTTTGGTTGCGAGTATGGTGGCTGCGACGGTGACGCCTGTTCGGTATGAGACATTGGTTTTGACAGTCCCGATCTCGGAAGTTTCTCCTTCGGTCTATAGTCCTACCAAGGGTGACGACTCTAGAAACCTATATAGCTATTGCACCAGCTATGGTTTATATCCAATCGGCGGCTATACTTTCACAACGACAACGACGGGGCCAGTTACACCTTTAACCTCCACCGGTGCCACATCTTTCGCATACGACATATATTGGAATTTGGACTGGTCTTGAAAGCAGCATTAATTGGGCTTCTTCTAGTAGCCATGTGCTACGGGGTCTTAGTTATCACTACACCACACCGCTAATTGACAGTGAATTAGCTGCCGAAAGTGGCTACCTTCGACGCCGCTTTAAGCTCCCTTTTTCTACAACCATCTTAATCATCCCAATGCGATATGCTGAGGTTTCTTATTGTTCAGCTCTGAAATATTTGATCAAGGCCTGGATCGAAACACTTTTTAGTTACACCGCGTGAGTTCTACCATTTCTGTAGCTTTTCTGAGTCAAGAAGTACACATTATGCACCTCAAAGAATCGTTCTATTTTATAGCCGAGAAATTAATGTCAATTCGGCACTTCCGGTGCAATGTTATTATGTCAATAGTTTCCACTAATCCTAAATAATCCTCATGTAAAAAGGTTCAAATATTTTGGCGCTCTAATAGTACCCGTGCACACCAACATATACCCTATCAGAACCGCTTTGCAACTTTAAACTCCAATAACCCCTATTCCAAGTCTGTTCTTTAACTTTATAATGCGAGAGTCGTTGCCCGTGTAAATTAGTTAAGTTTTATAGTCAGCTGACTGTGAAGATTGAGGCACTCTTAACAGGCACACGAACTAACACATGCATAACGATACCCCTAGTTATATATCTCTAGTTCTCTAACGCTATAGAACCAACTAGTATATTTTCTATATTACCATATGGCAGAACTACTAGTTAAGACTGAAGTGGAATAACATAGTCTCCACCTGAACCAATGGTTCTCGATATCAGCGCGTGACTTTGGGACCCTTAGTAAGTAGTCTACCAGTTAACTAGTTAGTTAAGTATTTATGTGGTAAATGGTGAGACATTCCGAGGTCCACTGAAAAAAATTAAAAATTAAAAGAAAAATTAAAAGAAATAGGGTCTTCGGTAGATGAATAGTAGGGGTAAAATAATCATCTTAATTTTCCACTCCATCTAAAGGAACATTGTGCAAGTTGAAACACATGTATAGACCAACTACGAAGAATGAATGGTGGCTATGTGGCCTACTGTTCACGCAGGGTATCTTGACAATCGCCCTTGAGATGTAAGTCTTTCTTCTCCTCCCTATATACACATGATGATCTAACTAATAGTTAAACCAGCTATATACTTGTGCAATGGCAATTATGGGTAACACCCACAATCATTCAGGTTGTGGTATCTTACATGATTCCAGTCACCCTGGCAATTTTGATTTTTGCTTGTGTCTACGAATTCATTCTTGCCTTGGATGCAATTCACAACAAAAACAACTTTCTCCTTTGTGCAATCTACATTAGTAATATGTGCAGTTTCGCGTACTCTGTTATGAAGTACCAACTGATGGAATCGACCACTACGAGGCTATTTAAAGATCGCTATAGTCTTCCAACTTTGGTCGATACCACCCGCAATGTCTGGCCTCTGATCCAGCCGGCTTTGATCGCTGTGTGTGTCATCATAGGAGTTTGCACTCTGGTTATGTCGCCGTGTGTATACTTCCTACACAGAGAATATTCCTGGACTATCTACAAATGTGTTCATGGAAGCCGGCAAACCCGCACGCGGTATCTGTTCTACGAGGTAAGATCCTCTCCTTAGCTTACGTTGTGACGGGTTCTATAGAAGCTTTGCTAAAACCTAACACAGATCTTCTTGGTCCTGATAAAACTCAACTTCTACTTCTTGATTGGGTTCATCATCCAATATAACTTGATCGACGTCCATTCCATCGGACTAGAGTACATATTAACCATGTGCCTCATCCCAGTTGCTTTCATCTGCATGCTGCTTGGTATATACTTCGTTCAACATGAGCGAACATGGGGTGTGGTTGGTGTTATAGTAAGTATTACGTCTCTTTCAGCCTAGAATTTTGCAGGAGCTTTATCACTGACACCATACAAGATATGCTACTTGGGTCTAGTCGCATATCTAATTAGCCGTATTATCATTCTCTGCAAGGATTCTTTTCTAGGGAAAGATATGATGCTTCTCTTTGCCGTTGTCTCATTGCTACTCACCGTTGCAACGGTTGCTTGCGCCATTGTGTGCATTACAAACTTCCATCAAGGCTTCAAGATGATCAACAGATCGAAGAACGGTGTCGCGCATGATTCATACTTTTTGCAAACAGGATTTCTCCCTTTGTCACATCCATCTTCACGCCCGCCCTCTCGGCTTACATTGGATTAAACCCGCAGTTGCTAATTGCCTGATACAATAATAAATGTATACTTTTTTTCAGACTCAATATTCATCAAAGATGACAAGAATCATTTGTTCGGAGGCACATATCCGTCTGTTGGTTACCTTTCACATTTATCGGCCGTTTAGGGCTGTACTGTAAGAGTGGTCGGTGCTTAGGACTGCCTTTCATAATGGAAGCATTTTCGAAACGCTCTAAGTTCGTTTTCATGAAGTGGCACACTTTTTACGGACCACGGATATATATAGTTTCTATGGTCAGATATCCAAGCCGCCAAACTCGCTCTGGAGAAGAACATCCTGGGGTGTCACAAATCCACCAAGACCATTGAACTCGTCATCGGCCGAGCTGGCTATGAGGCTGATAAGGATGATTGATGCTTTCCATTTGAGAGCATCTTTATCTTGAAGTGCGGCGAATGAGGGTGTCGAGTACCATTGCCCTTTTGTAGCGATTGGCCACTAGGATAGGAAATATGCGTTTCATGGCATCAGTCACAGGCTATGATACTCTGTTAATATCTGAAACCAACGTTTTATAGGGAAGGCCCATTTGTTAACATACCGATTCTTTTGAACTTGCAACCGGTGCTGTGAATGAGACAAAGACGGTAGGACCAGAAGTGGCTGCAAGTTGGAAACTAGGCATATCTTCTAGCGTACCCTTTATCACCAAGACATTGGCCGCGTTGTTTATCTCGGTAGGAAGCTTATCTGGGCTTCGCACTTAGAGTGTCAAAGTGTGCCCTCACATAGACCTCTCAATAGCCCACAAAGCCCATCGCCCAACCCAGCCCAACCCACCAAATGGGCTGGGTTTGGGGCCCTATCCTTAGGCCCATCAGTAGGCCGTAGGCCCGGAATGAAGCCCGTAGGGCCCATTCCGGCCCATAATAGGCCCCAAACAATATAAACATGCCAATTTATTGTAGGTATATAATTAATACATTTTTCTCTGGTTTTTGAGGGTATTCAAATTACCGTCGGAGCGATATATGAAGCTATTTAGAAACCTTCTTCTAAGCTTATAAATTAACTCATAGGGCTAGGCGAGTTAATTGATAAGATATAAAATGATAGATATTGGAAGATACAAGGTTGATTTTTATAAAGCTTTAATTTCTACAAGGGGTAACTACTTATTTTTATTAAGGAATTATGTAGTAAGTAGAGGTACCGTTAGTGTTACTACAATTGATACCTAGACATAGACCTAGACCCAATATATATATATATATATCTTTCTATATCCCAAGTGCGAATTCGTGGTGCAATCGGATCTTTTTGGGGTGATTTTGTATGAAATGTTGTGTGAAATCTAGTATCATAATGCTGAAATCAGTATAATATATACTTAATTCCTACTTCCTACTATGGTAATATGATGATACTCAATATATAGGTTGGTATATGCGTAAAATACAGCCATTAATCAGCTACTTTATGTGTGCCAAGACTATATTTGTTCACAGAAATGGACTTTTGATGGGCAATGGTGGGCGCCCATCAATGGGCTGTGGGTTGGTCTGGGCTTTGAAGACTAGGCTCATAGCACACTGCGGGTTGGGCTATGGGCTGGGGTCTTTGGCCCATTTATGGGCTATTGAGACGTCTACCCTCGCATTAGTGCGGTCTTGCAGAATTCCAAGCCCGATGCTCCTTGTATATGATGAGCACAAACAAAACGCGTGGATTGCGAAGGAGGGTTCACCGGTAGCTCTGGTAACCAATATGTGCGTTGTTGTCATCACTCGGAGATTGTATAGTTGCTGAGACCGGAGATTAATGAGTTAGGAATAAAGAGTCCCCTGTGTATTTCCTAAACCGGAAGCTGAAATGTTAAGGATGAGTTAGGGCTAGTGAGGTCCACGGGTACTGTCCCGGATAGTGGACAGCTGCAATGGTTAGAAATCAACCCAAGGTCTTATCAGTCACTCCAAGCCCTTACTTGCCATCCTGTAATTTTCCTTATAGAATTGAATGACCAAGCAGTATGGATCACCTATACCAAGTATCAAGCCCCATACCCTTCGCCATATTCACTTGGTACTCACACCGTGTCACAGTGGGTCATGCCAATTCATACCAATGTAGTATGGTGATGGGTGTCTGGCACGGTTATAGCTAAGATCGCCGACCCCCACTTTCATGTTTGGGATATTTGTGCATACTCCGACATAATATCCCATTTGTTACCGCGTGCTAGCATAGATTTGTAACAGAGTATATTCTATATATGGAGTACTACCCAAGTAGTCCATTGTGTACATTTTAGAGCGACTAATACCGGGTGTAATTGACTATCCTAGAACGAGACAACCTTTCGATATCATTCGGTTGAATTTTGATTCAAAAAGTTGGATTCTCATACCATTGTTTGTCGACCGGTGTATGAATTTACTGATCTTTGGGATTGAAATGTCTGCCGGGTAGACCCTCATATCGCGCCTACGACAAGAATGACGCCGCCAAGATGCTATGTGAACGAATATTAGAATAGAGTAATCACTGGCAAATGTCAGAAAAAAGGTTACCTGGAACTGGAAGCCATGTTGCAGGAGAAAGGGGACAGTAGATGCCAGAAGGAACCCCACTGCTTGCGCGTAATTCTTGGTGACAGTGCTCGTCAATGATACACACCACGCAACGAGAAACCCGCCTATCGCCTGTAGTAGAGCAAAACTCCACACAAGGTGATCATAGCCATGGAAAAAGGATATGGCCCCTGGTTTTGATTTCGAAATAAAGCCAAATATAGCGGAAAGAGAGCTGTACCAAGCGAGCTGAGCATTGCGAGACATAAATGGCTTGGACCTCTGCAACATCATCTCCACTCGCATACTAGCCAAGGTAACACTTGTTCCTGATAATACCATGCAAAGCACCCCGATTGTAGTGTTTGTGGAATATATCTGCTCCTGTAAGGCGGCTTTTGTAGATGGTGATGCGGGGGAGGTTTGAACCATTGTGATTCCTATAATTATGAGAAAAAAGTAAATCCAATGTCCACGGGAAAATCGTTGATCTAGAAAGATCACGCTGAAAATAGACGTAATGATGAACTTGGCTTGCGATAGCATCAAGTAGAGGAGGAGATCGAGGTTCCGAGCCCCTAAACTTTGCAGGTATGTCGCAGTTGTATACATGACTGCCGGTAGAATGGCTTCTCGATGTCCGGTTGTGAGAGTAGTGCGAATCTATTGTGCAGGGTAAGAAAACATCGGAAAGGTGGGTGCCTTTCTGAGCGTAATGAAAAGCACGGAGAAGGTGAGCTTCAGGATGTTGTATCTACTTTCATTCAGTTTCAGAAAGAAGTTTGTTATGCATACCAAAATTGAAGCGGTATTTTGAACACTAACTGCAAGGATGTGAGCTTTTCATCGAGATTTCCAGAAAGTCATATATTCATGTATTCCGTACCAGACATAATGCCAGGATTGAACAATTTTAAGATTGTTGATCGGATCCAATTGAGGAAATGCTTTGCCAATATTCATGAGGAACCACAATCTCAGCCAGAGGCTCAATATTTGAGAATGTCTGGGATGGTATCTGTATAGAATTTGGTTTTTTTTTTTTTGCAAGATCATCTAAGATCGTCTATAATAGGTCAACCTCGGTCCCCCGGAAGAAATCTGAGACATCTCACGTAGCCTTCCAAAATTGGAAAAGTTCATTGTGAAAGCAATATTTGTATTTTTCAAAGGTTATAGGTTATTTCACCTAAGTACTCCGTCCTCACTTTCATCTAGGAGATAGCTTAGATCCATACAGCAAACCCCAAAATGCTAGTATCTGCAAAGCGGACGATTGTTGCGACATCTATTCTAGCATCGTGTGTGCTCCTTTTGGTCACCAGCCAACTAAAACGCGAATATACCGGTTCAGGCTTTTCGAGTTCCTGGAACAATCAAACGTTGGGGGCATGGAATGGCTTTAATGCACCTTGGACAACAGAACAGGAGAGTGCTCGGTTTGCCTATGTGCAATATGCAACCGATACCGACTACCTGTGCAATGCAGTAGGTCGTCTGATATGCGATTCAATCCTATGACTAATAAATATAGATGATCAATTTCGCACGCCTTGATCGTTTCGAAGCAAGTTTCGACCAGGTGCTGATATATCCGAAAGAATGGGACGAGGTTGGCCTCTATCAAATTTCCCGTGTCAAAGCAACTTGAAAGCTAACAGACGGAACAGCCTGGAGGAATCGAGCATATGGCACTTGAAAACATCATCAAACATTATCCGCGTCTCGTACTACGCCCGATCGAAGTTCTCACTACTTCGCAAGGAGATCGAACCTGGCGTAAAAGCCTGACCAAGTTCCAGGCCTTCTCTCTCACTGAGTACACCCGCGTCCTGGTTTTCGATTCTGACTCCATTGTCCTCAACAACATGGACCCTTACTTCCTTTCTCCAAAGGCGCCCGTCGCAGTTCCAAGGGCATATTGGCTAAACGACAAAGGAGCATCAATCAAGGACCAAATGCTTGGGTCCCACGTGATGCTCATCGAGCCTAACATAAATAACTACAAGCGTATTATCGAAGAAGCTACAGCTTCCGGGGACTTTGACATGGAAGTCTTGAACCATCTCTTCAAGGACTCGGCTATGATCTTACCCCATCGACGGATAGCTTTGTTGACAGGGGAATTGCGACAAACGGACCATGACCGCTACTTGTCTGAAGATAAAGATGAAAAGTGGAATGCCATGGCGGAGGTCTCACGGGCATATTTGGTGCACTTTAGTGATTGGCCTCTTCCAAAGCCGTGGGTGCACCACACGGACGCTACTTGGGAAGCTACCCTGCCCGCTTGTCCGGATGGTGACACTGAGCGGGCTGATAGGCCAAGATGCGCGGATAGGGTTATGTGGACTGGGCTTTACGAAGAGTACTACCATGACAAGAAGAGTGTTTGCAGCATATTGACTTAGCTACGTATAATATTTTGGACGCGCATCCTCTCAAATTCGGCCCAAGTTCTAACGTATTTCACAAGCGAGCCGGCGGTGGCCGGCTCGCTTGTGAAATACGTTATATTCCCTTTTTTTACATCCGTAACGTTTCTTATCATAGGACCGGGCCAACCTCTTGATAATGAACTAGTGTTAGTTTCAGGAAATGGTGCACTCTACGTTTGGGCATATCGGGATGTCTCATTCCGGAAGGGTAAGGGGGGTGGAGAGAAATAGGGGTTGCTTCTTTTCTTAGCTATGCCAAGGTATAAGAGTATAGGGAGACGGAAAATACAATTACCGTCTTAATTATTACAATTATCAGATTCCTTACAGGGAAGATCTGCACGTTTTGCTTGGAAGGATCACGACAATCGGACTTTCCCATAGTCGCTGGAGCGGTATATATCAGTAAAGATACTGTTGGCACGGCGATTTCATCTAAGCTTGAAGTCTAAGGCCCTCCACCAAATCATAGCAATACATCATCTAGACTAGTGTCTGCATCTATCAGTAACTCGATATAACCAACCTGCCACCTAAGATACACCATGTATCAGATAGCCCCAAGAAAAGAAATCGACAACAAAAGTAGAAGAGGAACGACCTCTGAAACCTGAAATTGAAACCCATATATACTGGACAAAAGAAAATAAAGATAGACACAAGAAAGTAAAGAACACCAAAACATATGAGCAGGATGTGGGAATAGCCGAGTGCGAACAATGCCAGAAGAAAAAAAAATGCAGCAAGGAGTTAATAGCCGAGAAAAAAAAGAAGAGAAAAGAAACAGACCACAACCACAGCTAGAACACTCTCTTATCCTCTTATGGCAGAATAGGCATATCCACGATCTTCAGAAGCTTAAACTTCCCAAGTCTGGCTTTAACAGCGGCCCAACCAGTCTTAAGCCGCTGCTCGACACGACGATCCCCCCTCAACCGCATCCAAATAAGCAACATACCCAGCATAGCAATATCAAACAAGATCTGCCGCACAGCAACCCAAATCATCCACTTCAGCCACGCAAACAACCCATTCCGACGACGCTGTGCAACAGATCGAGCCTCCATCTGCTCCCGCACAGCAGCGATCTCAGCCGTCATTTTCGTCAAGGCCTGCTCGACACGACGACGCCAGCGACTGTCTTTCGGTGGTTCCTGGGATTGTGAATGTGGCTGGGAATCTCGACGACGTGTGAGTCCATTCCCACTGCTATCTATACTAATTCCAGAAGCAGGATTGCGTCGGTGTTTGGGATGGTGCTGTGAAGAGACGTCGGTATGTGTAAGTGTATGTGTGTTGGAGGTCGAGCTACCATGATCCGGGTCATTGTCGTCGTGGTCGTCTTGATCTTGTTCTTCGTATAAGCTATCACGAGCTTCCTCAAACTCCTCATCATCCTCATCTTCATCTTCATTATGTCGACTTCCATCGTCGTTTTCTATAGATCCCCTCCCCCGTCGGTAATACGACGCCTCCTCCGGTTGGCTCACAGGACTGAGAACCCGTAACCGTGAATCCCGATCCCGTCGACTGGTATCATCCCGTCGATCGGGACGGTCATAGTCCGATTGGGCCGCCAATCGACCCCCAATACTCCCATATGCACTGCGCGATAAGGGCGGGACACCGACGGTATTCAGTGGACTGGAATTGGACGACGAGGAGGCGTTGAATTTAATCTGGTCCCAGACGAACTCGAGCTCTGAGACTAGCTCGCGTGCTTCGGGGGTTTGGGAGGCGTATTCGTGCATTGTGTCGATTAGGGTTGAGATGTATCGGCGTTTGGCTTCGGTGCGCGACATATCGCGCTGCGCGTACCATGCATCCCTAGAAGACAAGGCATGGTTAGTTTGTGGTTGGATATAGAGAAAGAGCGATGTTCGAGCAAGATCCACATCGAGAGCTTCCTTTCCCCGCGCGTTTCGGACATACCATTTCTCGCACTCCGCGTGCACCTCTGACGTATTCCCAATCGGTCGATCCATTACACCTTCCACGTCCCCCTCTGATGGAACATTAGCTCCGACGGTTTCTTTGTGTTTCCGGTAATGCGGATAACTCACCCATACTCTGCTTATACAAGCCATATAGAGCCAACCGCTCGGCAGCGGGAGGTCGCGCAGTGCCGGTCCGGGGAATCCTCTTAACGGTATTGAGCGCATGAACAAAGACTCGATCTGGAACGGGGAGGTGTCAGTGAAATCCAAATGCACGAGGGCGCAATCTGCAATCTGCACACGCACCTACAGAGTCCGACATGACGCGATAAGCGGTCCGGTTTGCCTTGTCTTCATGGGAGCGGGGTTGGGCATCGGCTTGCGCGGGTCCTCATGGGGAGGGTAGAAGGCCGGGAATAGGAAATTGAAGATATAGTGAGTGTTTCTTTTGGAGAGATGTTGAAAGGGGGGAGTGTTTTTTTGGAATTGGGGAAGGATTGTTGTTCCGATAAGGAGAGTTGAGATTCCCGAGGTCCCCTGTGGTCTGACTGTGATTTTCCCCGGAATGTTGTCTTCTCTTCTTTTTTTTCCCCAGATTGGAAAGATTCACTCCAATCAAAATGTCGGAAATGAGGAACTCCTTTAGATTATCTGGAGATGGGCGTGTGCTGTTGGACCGCGGCTCTCGGCGATCGTCACTTGTGATTGTCGCCGAAATTACGTTCTACCTAACATTTGAAGATTGGAAGTTGGAGTGTTGTCTTTTGTATTTTTTTATTTTACATTTAAAAAAAAAGACCTGTAGCTATACAATATAAAGAAGAAAAAAACACCCTACTCGCTCGGCAACTTCTTCATCGTCTCCAACGGTTTCTCCGCATCGACTGGCGTACCCGTCATAAGCTCCGTGGCTGCGCGCGCCTCGTCGCCACTGACAGGAGGTCCAGTAAAGTGCTTACGGGCGTAAATAAAGTACCAAAAGATACTGATACCGCCGAATCCAGCGAAAACAACACTGGCGTAGTTCATAGACTCCGCAGTAACAGGCAAGGTAACAGGCATACAGAAGAGGGCGACAGCCAAAACAATCCACGCAATAGTAACGCAGTTAATAGCGAATCCAAAGCGACCAAGGGAGAATGAGGAACCTTTCACATCGCGACGGCCCCGGATCAAAGAAATCAAAATCGGAAGACCGTACGAGGTTGACAGACAGATAGTAGCCACGCCGGTGAAGGAGTTGAATGCAGCGGTAGAACCGAAATAGATAAGTCCAAGCAAGCCATCCACGACCGCCGAGAGCACGACAGCCCACACAGGGACATCCAATTTGGTGTTCACCCGTCGCCAGAGCTTGAAGCCCGGAATGGCACCGTCCCGTGCGAATGCATATGTGCAGCGACTGGCAGCTGTGAGGGAACCAATGCCGGCGAACAGCATGATTCCCAAAATCAGGAAGAGCAGGCCGAAGCCACCGCCCGCGGAACCCGTCACCGTCTTGAAGAGTAGGCCGATCGGCTGGCCGCTGGCGACCTCGCGCAGCATCTGCACGTTGGGCATCACGAATAAAATCGGGATCAGGTAGAACAGGCCAGTGATGCCGGCCGCCACCACGGATAACACGATTGCCTTGGGCACCTCGCGGTGCGGGTTCTGCACCTCTTCGCACATAGCAGCGACCATTCCATAGCCTGTCAGGGTGTATGCTGCCTGCAGCAAACCGACGAAGAAAGCCCATCCATCGGGCCAGCCGCTGGTGGAGGCATCATAATGAGCGAAGACGAATTCCGCGTCTCGACGGTCATCGGCCATTGTCAAAAGCGTGACGAGGATGATGATGACGCTAGCTGCAGTCCAGAAAATGCAGACTTTGTTAATGAGATCGAGATAGCGTGAGCAGAAGATATTGACTAGGGCGCAGAAGAGCATGACGGCCCAGAACATCAATACGGTCTGCCACGCGTTGGCGACGAAGGACTCATCGAAGATGGAGATGGCGCTGAGGATTAGCTGGCCGCCGGAGAAGATGATGCTCAGTGTGACGGTCCAATTGCCGACGAGGGTTAGCCAACCGTCGATGAAGGACATCAATGGTGCCCAGCGGCGCGTTGAGAGCATCGCGCTCCAGTAGTACACGCCTCCTGCTGTGGGGTATACGGCGCAGATCTCGGCGAGAGAGGCGGCGATGGCGATTGAGATTAGGGAGACGAAGACCCAACCCCAGATTATGGTGACGGATAGACCGTCGGCGAGGGTAATGTAGAGAGTTGTGCTCAGTCCGAAAGGGGCTGCCATAATGGCAAAGGATAAGCCGAGGATGCTCAGCATGCTCAGGTTTCGTGGTAATTCACTCTTGTAGCCCATACGGGCCAATGCCTCGTCGGCGGAGGCATCAACAGATAAGCTTCGCATGTTGAATGTGTTGGAAAGTGAACATTCCACCAAGGTTAGAAGATGATATTATATCTGAAGAGACAAGTTTTAAGTAAGAGAACCCCGCATGGAAAACATGGCGCGGTCCGGGACCGCGCACTTAAGTTTAAAGATTGAGGCGAAAAGATATCTTGAACGAATGAAAGGGAAGGGAGTTTTCTGGCTTATCATCTTGTATCTTTGGGCTAACGGGCTTTTTTTTTTTTAGAAAAAAATTGCCGATGTCTCATGACCTAATAGTATATACAGATAAGACACGGCATTTTCCATTGACCCCACTTAATTCCCCTATTTCGTCTCTTTCAACTTCCATGAACGGGATCATTATGAGATCAAAGAGATATGAAGATACCGTAGCATTCAGTCCATGTCACGTGAGAATACCCCTGTATTCCTACATTAGATCCGTTTTAAGGATAACATATGCTCTAATGAAGCACTAGATTCAACATGCTGAACCGAATATATGAGTACCTCACTAATTACATGCACCTACATTGAACAATCTTGATCTCATTAACACTATCTTACTCCTAGACTCTACAGCCAGGCGTGACACATACACCACACAACAATACCATTAAGGCGGAGATTGCAGTCAGAACACGTTTGACATCATAAGAGGATCTGCAGCGGGGTTCCGTGCTAAAATATATTATACACTATACTCGTGAGCGCGGCAAGATTAAGAATCATGAACTCCGGAAAGAGAACACATCTACGAGATAGCCAGTAATACCACCTACATATGTAGGTAGACACACAGCTCGGTATGGATTAACTATTCCTTACAAAATACTCCGTATACAACCCCCCAATGAAGGATGGGAAGGCGTGTATAATGTGGGGGCTGGGATGAGGATACGGGTTTGTGGGGTAGGTTAGGTTTCAAAGGGTGGACACACTTGGGATTGAACGGATTTGGCTGCCTGAAGAGAGAAGTGGCGGGCCAAGCCCAGGAGAAGAGGCCTACTCAGACTACTTCAAAATTACGCAAGTACAAGTCTACACTCGAAAATTGGATATTTGAATGATTCATTGCACACATACATCAAGGTCACGCGAGGTGACGGCTGCCACATCAGGAACATGCTGCAAAGACTCCCATGGGTGATTCAGGGAAGACTGAGCAATGGATGAGCGCCAGGATGGATATATCAACACAAGGGAAGGGGGGAATCAGACCAAAGATGAAATCCAGATCCACACCCTTCCTTCGGGAATTTGTATGGCAGGGGGTAAAGGGGGGTATCAAGGGGGGAGGGTAAAGCACAAATGTCATCCAGTGATCTCGCTGGGGTGAAGAAAAGAAATTTTTTTCTTGTTTGATGAGATATCTAATAGAACAAAGAGGGAGATCAGTGGGGGGAAGAGAGTATGGGCGAAAGTAGGCTCTGAGTGTTGAAAAGGCGAGAGAGATAAATATGGTGACGGGAAAAGGCTGTCAGGATTTTTCGGCCGCAAAGGAACCGTGCATGTTGAACTCCGTCTATGTGACCACTCTAGTAGTCAAAGTAGGCCAGTTGGACCGCCTTTTCCGAGATGTCGCGCCTTGGAAAGGAAAATAATGATCGAAAAGAAAGGAAAATGCGCTGAGTCGTGACCAGCCAGCTAGTGCCAACTCCAAATCGTAAAAGAAACATGACCGTGGTAACGGAACGATCGTCAATCGAGGTCGGATGAAAAAACAAGAAAAACGCCCATTCATGCAGTGTCGTCAGTCCGGTGAAGTCGTTACATGAGATGCAAGTACAGTCGCAGAGGCAAACGCGAGTTTAAAAAGGTCAGAAAGGTGACGAGGCTAGTGACGGGGCCAACATCTTATGGACTTAGTCCGAGGTCATCATTCAAGTCCGGGCCAAAGCCTGCCATATCGACAGAGTGCAAGGATCCAGGCCCCTTGCCCAAGGAGATGTCGGAGGATGCATAGTCATGTTTAAGTCGTTCGTGCGGTCCGAAGATATGTGGTCCGAAGAACGGTCGGTTCTCGTCATTTGGAGTGTTGCCATCCCCGCCGACCCATGGCCCATTCTGCCAGAATCGGGTGTTCAATTGCTGATCTCCGAACAAATCGTGGTGGTCTGGATGAGGGTCTGGACCATGGATGGGGAACTCATTTGGCGACTGGAATCGTAGATGCGACCGACCGAAACTGGAGCATGGTGAATCTGCGTGGAGCGGCATATCGAGACCCGAGAGAAGGGGAGGGTCCTCCACCGGGGTTATGTCAATGGTCGGATTTTCCGTTTGTTGGGCCAAAGCCGCCGACAGCCGGAGATTAGATGATGAACTTTGCCGGCTGTGACTAGCCGACCGCTCGATTGCACGCTGCACGAAGCTACCACAGGCCTTCAAGATCTTCTCCTGATGCTCCGGTGGCAGGTTGTTGAAATAATCGTTCGCCAGTGATGGTTTGGGCGGGTCGTCTGCCGCAGGAACCAATCCGTAGGTAGCCTTGGCATATTCGGACAGACCCGACGGCATGTTGTAGGGAGACTGATAGACATTGGGTGCCAGCGACCGCTGCTGATCAAGATAGGCATATTTTCCAGGCATCTTAGCAGCAGCCACGCTACCCCGATCGACAGTCTCCTGCTTGAGACCCTCCGACTCCTTCTTCTGAATCACATCGAGTCGCTCGCGGTGGCTGACCAGGGAGAACCGCAGCATCTGAAGAAGCCGAGTGACCTCCTCCGATCGCATGTTTAGAGTCTGAGGCGGCAGCAGAGTCCCATCCGCAGCCCGTGGCTGAACCCGTTGCTGGGCCATGGCCAGTTCCAGCTTCTCGAGGCCATTGGCCGGTGGTATTGAGCCCATAGGACCCAACAGAGTCTCGACCACCAATTCGGGGCTGACGATAGTGTATCCGGCAAAAACATTGGCATGGTC